ACAATCATACCTAGTCATGAACCAATGAACTCGTCACCAAGGATGACATCAACCTCGAATATTGCTGGCCTTGACTCTGAATCTTCATGCAGAAAATATCATAGGTGCCGCTAGAAACGTGCAAATGTTCGAAACGGCTCTTAGATTTTCATGTACTATTGCTGCGATCCTATAGCAGTTAATTCTATGTAGTTGCTTGTTCATTAAAGCGTTGATGAATGAACATCTCTTTCAATCATTCACGCTGAGCTTGCAACCATAACAAATTGCAAAGGCTGACAACAAACGGAGTCCCGCTCTGCATGACGCCGATCCCCGGCTGGATGCCAACTAAGCGCATGCCAGTATGCGCATTCACGAAGCTGCTCGGACCAAAAGAGGTATGTGGTGAGTCGTGACCATCTCGCAAGCCTTCAATTATCGTCCACTTTCGTGCAACGACGCCAAGACCGCAAGAGGAGGGAGCGAGGGGGCTCGGGGGGGCGGCAGCCCCCCCGATTTTAAGTGCAACAAAAAGGGCGGAGAGTTGTACCGAGCAAAAAGTTTACCGCTGCTACCGCCTTGCGGCCTCGCTTTACGATTGCGAGCTTGGGAGGACGAAAGGTTTGCGAAAAAGGGTGTGACCAGAGTGGGATTTGAACCCACGCCCCCGAAGAGACCAGCGATTGTCCTTCCGGGAATGCGGAAGTCCTTAAGCTGGCGCCTTAGACCGCTCGGCCATCTGATCGACTGGATGTGCAGGAGGTCGCCACCGTAAACATATAACCTAAATAAATTTCCATGAATTTCAGCGCACCTCTAGTTGTGCTGACTGTACGTGAGCTGGATTTCCGACTGGGGCGCCTTTCATTCATGCAGGCTGCTGGTGATGCAACCTAGCACAGTCAGCCACCCCAGAAATTTGAAGAGAAGGAAGGGGTGTGTGAAGGAAGCAGGACGCCTGTAAAGGGGCCAAAGGCCGGGTGAGTTTCGTGCAGAGCCTCTGCGAGGCATATGTATCAGCATTAAGGCAGTTGCGTGTGGCGCTGCATTCAGCCGACGCACGTGCTCCGCTCGCCAATAAGTGCAGTTCTGAGGTTGAGACATGCGGCCAGAAAATTGCAGGATTTTGTTGCTCGTTTTGGAACCGATCCATCTCAACATTCTCGTCACTTCCGCAGTGTGTTGCAAATGTCTGCGTTCGTTGAGCCTTCTTTGATGAGCTTTTAAAACAGCAAGTATCTTCAGAAAGCTGTTCTCAACCTTGCATTGGAATGTGCAGGAGGCAAGACCAGTATAGCATCAGAGAAGTCTCTGCTTGGGAGATTGACCTCAATTGGCCTGTAGGTGCGTCCAAGTCAAACGGCCACCGCTGAACGCCATACTTGCCAAAGTGGTCAACACTTAACTTTCAGGCATTAGCATACATTGGTGTTTGAAGAGCTAGGCAGGGGGCATCTACTTCTAGGGAAACTCGGGATAAGAAATATGGCGGTCCTTGATGTTACACGTGCGGAGCTTGCTCTGCTTGCGCTGTACTTGAGCAAGGCAGAAACTCGTGACAAGATTTGCCGAGCTATCCAGTACGGGTCAAAAGCTATTTCAGGCGGTCAGCCTGGGATTGCACAGGGTATTGAGAAGAATACAAGCCAGGCGAGGAAAGTTTTCAGGTTGGCAAAGGTGAGTTGCCTGTGCAGGAGTTCAATTAATGGGGATTGGAGCAGTTAACATTCCCTTCCGGCAAGAGAAAGGGTGTTCACGAGAGAAAGAGTGACTTTCTTGAAAAAAATAAATGGCAGCCCCAGGGTGCACTATTTCCATCTGTTGCTGTGCTGATTCTGAGAGACTCCTCTTTTGCCTTGCTCTTGCTGATTCCCCCCAGCAGCTGAATATATTCGCTCAATTGGAGCAACCTGCTAAAACTGAGCTCCTGCTTGCATCTCTCTTGCAGTTCTTGAACGACGTGCAAGTCCTCTTGACTCCAGCTCCAAAGGATTCGCCACTGCCTATTGTGGTGTTGACAAAGGTAAGCCTCGTGAATGTAGACGAGACTGGTGGAGGATGAGCCCCATTTGGCTTGGGCTTCGCTTTGAACCATTCTGAAGAAAGTCGTTTTACGGTCTCCCACCTCCTTTTGCCTTGTACATATCGTGGTAATATTTATGCTTTTCTCCTTATTTTCCCCGCAGATTAAGCATGCCCTCCTCTTTGGCTACTTTTCACTGGGTAAGTGACTTGCTCGCTTAGAAGCTCAGAAGCAAGATTCACAGGAGGTTTCAAGGCTGCCTGATTTTGCACGTCGCTTCCTTGCCTGGGCACCCTTCTGCACGTCCAAATGGTACAATTATCGACGACTTGGTGTTATGGCTGTCTTTTCGGTCATGCTGACTGTGAGGATGGTGACACACTGCTTTGATAATCTTCCAGATTCCTTTGTCTGGTTCGGTCGCTCCAACATCTACAAGAACAAGGAAAAGACAGAGCTGCTCTCGAAAGTGTCTCTCTACTGCTGGACCGTCAGTACTGTCGTGTCCGCCATCATTGAGGTAAGAGCCCCGCGGCAGTCTGCACCTTGCAGCTACTGAAGAGATGCGTTCAACAGGGCAATCCATTTGAATGACCTTGTTAGATCCAGTAGTACAATCATAGAGCGTTTTTATTGTGTGGTTCGTTCGCATCAAATTGTGGCTCTGCAGGGCGCGTTTTGAACGCATACCCCAAATGTAAGTTGCTGTCACAGTGGGGGTAGCGAGGATATCAGTGAGTCCTGATTATGCGGCTGCTCGAATGCTGCAGATTGCAGAGATTTCACGGATCTCAGCGAAGGAGCGGAAGAAGAGTGGACTGGTCGACGGTGCGGCAGATGTAAGTTTTCATGGCAGCCTTCTAGCTTCTGGGAAGTTGCACCCAGGGAGGACTTCCTCTGCTGGCCCACTGATAGAATCGTGAGGTTTCTTTCTGGAGCCTGGCACGTGAGGTTGTACATAGATTGGCCGTTGATCTCTGAGGTCTTTTGTCAACAGCTACAACTCTCAGGAAGGCGTCTTGGAGTGTCTGCGGTGACAACCTGTAGTGCAGGACGATCTGTTCGGCTGAATCATTGCTCACTCGTGGACTAATTGTAAATACTTGCGAGCTTGTCTGTCCAGGAAGCTGAGAAGGCCGCTGACGCTGAGAAGATCAAGGCCAGGATGATCGCACTCATCCGGTCCAACCTGGACACTGTGGTGGGGATTGGCCTCGTGGGTCTGGCGCCAGAGACTGTCACACCCAGAATGACAGGAACGCTGGGCCTTATAACGTCCCTGATTGCGTGCTATCAGGTAAGCCGTCCAAGAACGTAGTCATGGGGACCCTTCAAAGGGACTCTTCGTATGTGATGCTTCTCGGCTTGCTGAAACTCGGTTGAGAAACGTAATCTGTTAGGCAAGTCAGATGATGCGATCATTGGTCGCGGCGGCGCTTGGAGACTGAGCCGGTGTAACTTTCCAGTGCCCTAATTTCTGGCAGGATTTGGCTCCGGTTTGTGCAATGATCGGAGTGCAAAGCATCGAGTCAAATCACCGACTGGGTGCTGGTCCAGTCGGCATCTTGATAAGAGACAACTTCTTGTTATTGTTCTGACTGGGATCCATCTTATTGCAGCAATTCCCGGCACACCCGACAAAGGCGAAGGCTGCTTGATTCCGTGATGGGAGGAAATAGATGCACCACTCTGTATCGAAAGCTGTTGAAGCACGTTAGGCTTTAGGCCGGCAGACTTGTGGTCACTGTGACAAAGCAGTGACCAGTTCTCGACTGGGCATGTATGTATATGTTCTGATGCGGTGTAGGTTGAGCAGCCTCGACATCTGGTCTATAGGATCGATAACTTAGGTTGCAATGCTTGACTGGTGACATAGTTTGTTTCTTTGCAATAGTATATAGTGCTGCCACTGAACGTTGTTGCCAGCTGTAAACGTGGACGTTGTCGACGGTGGCATAATCTTATCCAGACTTTGCCTTTTTGCGCATTCTAATTGCGACTTGAGGCAGCCGCAATTGTCAATTGTCAATTTCTTTGGCGGTACGTTGGTTGGCCAAGTGGCAGAATCAACATTTCCATGATGAATATAGAGGTGTGTTGAATGGCACGCTCGCGCGATCTCGGCAGTTGCAGAGTTAGTTTGAAGTACAATTGGCGGACAATCGTTCACAATCTTGAGAATTTGAGCTTTCGTTAAATTGAAGATATGGTGCATCATTATTTCGACCGTGCGCGCGTCTGCACTGAGCCGGCCGCCTGCAAAGTTCACACCTCTGCTTCAAGCACGTATATTTACGTACTGCCTGCGCATGATATTAGCATGCCAGTGGCCGATGCTATCATGTGCATACGGTAGGCACATACCCGTAAGCGGAGCTAGCTGGGGCACGTATATATGTGACATGTATATATAAGTAGTCATTCTAGACTACCGTTGCAGTCAGAAAATTCAATGCATATACTCACTGAGTCCGGAATCGCAGCTATGTAAGTGCATGCTCGCGTGTCATATGTTTTAGAAAACTCCTACAATCCTAGGCCCGGGCGGCGATGCCTGTGTGCAGGCAACGGCAGGCCGCCCGGCAAGCAAGCGGCCATGCAAGTGCCAGGCGCCGGCTCAGTACCGTCAGCAGCGCTGCCTGCAGATCATCATGTTGTCAAGAACCTCATGCAATCCAGTTTCAGCACTAGCGGTGTAAGCCTTTCCTTGAAGTACTCAGACGACCTGAGGTAATGATACAGGCAACTTACAATCGAGGCCACATATGCGTCACACACCTTCGTCTTTCAAGTGTTCGCACTGGTCTGACGTCAACCCTTCGACATCCTTCTCCCGTCCGTCTGAATCACCGTTTGCTAAGCCTCCATTTGAACCTGCCCCAGGCACCATATGTACGCGCTCCAACGTCGCACCTTCCTGAACCATTTCCAGACGGCTACTTTCTTCTCTCGCATTCGCGGTTTCCTTCAATTCTGAACCTACTGCCTCTGCTCCCCCAGCTTCCGGATCCGCGTCTTTCCGGGCCCCTTCTTCTTCGCTGCTTTCTACTCGCGGCCTTGTTGCCAACCTGTCCTGCTCGTCTCCCGCCCTTTTCCGGGTGGGCACCACCAATTCCAGGGCCTTTTGCCAGTCGTTCAGCTCCTTATACCGCACCAAAAGCTCCACCACCTGCATCGACAAGCAGCGTAATGCTCGCTCAGCGCCTCGTTCAGAACACAAAGGTACCTCGGGTCACTTTATAGCTTTTTACTTCGTAACGGGAAGCGTGGAGCAAACAGAACAGGTTCGGTGCTGGTCAGCTGCGACAATTACCGGTACATCAAGCTGTTGCGTCCTTGGCAGACGGGAGAGAGACAAAATCCCTCACACTATCTAGAAATAAAGGAACCAAGGAGCACTCCTAGTCTGGCCGGTCCCTGGGAACGACGCAGTGGCCGGTGCTCCTCAAAGCCTTGCCGTCAAGAAAGATCTACCGGCTCTTAACAGCCCAGGCCAAAATCTTGGCTTCGCAAACCAGAAGCGATCGCTTGAAAGACCTCTACGAAGTGACTTTGCCGAAAGCAGTGGTATCAGGAAAGACCTCGTCTCAGTCCCAAAAGAGCAAGCTGTGTACGGCAGTAAGTCGTCGAATCTAGATTTATACGAGGTACTCGTGATGTTCCTCGATAAGGCAGGAACAAAGAAACCGATGAATTGTAAGCGCCGTGCTTTGCCTGCTCTTCCTCGTCTTTCTAAAGACACGTCAATGATTTCGTGAATCGCTTTTGCAACATGCGAATAGCGTGAATTTGCGCCGAAAAAGAAACGGGGACGAGCAATTGTGTTTCTGTCAAAACGAGTTCCACATCAAAGCCTCGATCGCGCATATGATGCACGCTGCCCGCTCACATGGTTGACGGTGAGCACTTTGGACGACGCCAGCCGCAGGTGCTCGCCAATGGGCAGCTTAGCCATCGCAATGCCCTGTGACTTCGCCTTGTCGTACGTCAGCCGCTGCAGCACACAGCGACAAGAAAGCTAAGCCCAACTATTGCAGGCCCATCAGGTAAAGGCCCTTGACGCTGAGAGCCGTGTCCCGCTGGTAGTGCTGGGGCAGGGACCTTGAACGAGCGAGTTTGACAATTACTTGTTTTCGTTTTTGCTTAGAGAAGCGAGCGAGTCTTTCTGCAGATTCGACTGATGGGGTTTGCATTTATTGCTGATGATTACCCGTCTTTGAGCTTTGCAGCCTTGGCAAGTCTCAGTAAAACCGCGATGATCCAAATGGACCACCCGAAGAAGATCCGAAGGCCACCGTATTCTGTTGCCGACTACCTTCCGACCATCTGTAATGTAGACCAGGACGACGCTCCACTTATAAAGGTCCCTCAGTGACTAATTGAAGCGACAGACTCTGCGCTCGCTTGTAGCCCTTTCTTCGCAAAAGCATACAGATTGACATCGGACGGCCCACCTTGTGGCGGTTCCTGTCGACGATCCCCCCAATGATGTAAATCTTGTCCGCATCTAGTTCCTGGATCGTGTCGTCCGCATCTGCCGTCAGGTACACCAGGTCCGACGTCCGGTCTGCAAACCGCTCCAGATACGACCGCTCCTCGCTGACCACCTGCGAGGAGCATTACAGGTCTGTGCCGCAGCTTCGATAAAGTCCCAACTTAGGTCTAGTAACCTTTAGACGTAGTCAGCTGACCAGTTTGGGACGGGTGGGGTTACTTTGAGGTTTTAGGGTGGGTACGGGTGCGGAGCGGGTGGTTTTGAGGATTAGGAAATTGTGTCAAAGAAGGAGCTTACTAAGGCTAGAGCTTACCGTACCAGATTGACGAGACATGCAGCTTTGAAGTTGAGACTTTGAAGACCCAAAACTCGACCACGGGCCTAAAGCCGAATCAGCAACTTCTGGTGATCGAATCATTACCTCAGAACACAGAGGACCTCGTGTCGTCACTTTTGGCACGCTGTTTTCTCGAAGCGGGCGTAGCTGCTCGCTAAGCTACGCCATCTTTGATTCGGGCCTCGTAAGTTGCCCGAGAATCCCAAGCCGTTCTCGTTCGTTGTTGCCTTCCTTGACAAGGTCTTCCGATAAGGTGAGCGGACTTGACTGAGCCTACTTTGATACAATGAGAAGGATAATCACTTTTACTTTGCAGAGATCATTCGAACTCTAATGACAGACACCCGAACGAAGTTCGGCTGGCCATCGCTTCCCGCTTGATGATCGGCCCTTTTCTGCAATCTCGAAGGAACTTCTGTCCCGTACAACTCAATGTCCTAGTGGCATTAAACCTAGAGACCGAAATTGCTAAAGGGCAGGAAACGGAGCACCATCCGCAGACTGACCAGCCAATTGTTGAAGCCGCAGATGCCGTGCACTTGTTCCTTCATCGCGCCCGTCACCCCGGTGAGGCACAGCCGGAAGGGCTGCGCGCCCTGGCTGTTGCGGTTGTAGCTGTACATCAGCTGCTGCATCAGCGACTTGCGCTCCTGCAACGAAATACAGAAACATGCGATTCAAGATATCAAAGCCTTGGATCGTTCTACAAGTGGCGTCAAACCCGTCCCTTAAAGGATCCACAACTTTCCTGCTCGAATCAGGGCAATCCATTCGAATCGTTCCCCACTTCAATGGCCAATCTGCTCTTTCAAATGTCTGCCCTTGACGTCATCAACACATTGTGTGGCTCAGGGGATCTGCTAACCACTTAGGAGGTTGGACTGAGCTACTAGGATGTCCTAGAACTCCCTCGCGTTTTGGCAAAACAGATTCCACTTAGAGCATTCTTCCTCGTGCCTGTTGCCAACATTGTGAATGACAAAAGCAAGATCATTGCCTCACACTGCCAATTCTGGCCGAGGTTCCACTGATTCTTGCAACAGCGCGGGGCTCAAAGCTGCTCACATGTGGTTCCATGAGGTCCCCAAACTCTAGATCGATGACGAGGTCCGCCCCTCCCTGTAACGCGTCCCTCTGCCGCACCTTGCGCTGCTCCTTCTCCCGCACCCTTTGGATGCGCCCCTCTTTCCGCCGCTGTAGCTCCGCGTGCTTTTCCTCTACAAAACAAAGACATATAAGTATCGACTTCAACATCTGATATCCTTTACTCAGGCAAACAATCCCGCTTGAAAAGTCACGAGCCAATAGCAGGGAACCTGCTGACCCTTTGAGGGACGGGGTCACTGTTGCTGCTGTGAGTCGATTGTTCCAGAAGAGTACACAAAGATCGTGAAAAGAGGACAGTAGTCGAAAGAGCATTGCCAAGATAAGCAACAACCCTCAAGAACTATTCAAGACTGCATGGGGAATACGGGATCAGGCCTCCACTTGTCATCCCCAGGATTGGGGGCTCTTTAGGAGCACAAAGTGAGCCATTGCTTACAAATGACTTCAAGTATGCCGTCAATTGTCTTCAGGACCCTTTAGAAACGAAAACGCAGGTTGGGGCAAGCAACGAATGGCATAGCATTTATGCCCCAGGAACCCAAGAATTCACTCTCAAAGACAAGGGAGAATCCCCAGCGCATGTGCGCCGACAGATGACCTTATCAGTGAAATTGGTTTCAACCACCAATGATCAGGCGAAAGCCACTGACTTTCATGTTGGTGACCTCAAAATCCAAATGTGGCATTCCAGCTTTGGCGCCCCACTTAATAATCAATTTAGGAACCGCTCCAATTTTGCCAACCAGAAGTGTCTACTTGGCAGCATTGCATACCACCATCACATTGACCATTCCTGGACGCAGACTGCTGTTATGCTCGACAGCCGGAACTTCTTTCTAAGGACTGGCTCCCATCGACCGCCCACTATACACGGACCTTTGGTCATGCCCGCCAGCATTTCGCGAGTCGCATTCTTGCGCTCCTCCGCCACCGCCTTCTTCTTCTCTTTCTCCTTCACTCTCTTGTATGCATTCTTCACTTCCGTTCTCTCCTTCCGCCTCAACTTCTTCAGCTGATTCTTGGACATCTTCGGAGTTTCCGCACCACCCGCTTCCGCCTGCGTTTCCACCCCATCTTTGGGGCTTTCTGACCGGTCCAACATACCCAAATCAGTGACCCCCAGCATGCCTTCCAAGGGGCTCTGTTCGCTAGCCTGCACCACCGGAGTTTTCACAGCCACGGACGCCATTCCTGCCGGACCCTGGGCCAAAGTTGCAAAGCAGAATTTACCAGTCAAATGGAGGGTTCTTGAATTAGGGTTTTCAACCCTAATTCAGAAGGGAAGCATCTGCCCTGGCAAAATTGGCCCCTGAAGTCTGAAGATCGTGCAGAATTCTTGCTCAGTTGCTACATATAAAAGCTTATTTTCAAGCCAGAAAGAGCAAGCCGGTTTGCACAATATTCCGTTGGTTGACAGTCAGCTAGAGAGGTGCAGCTCAATGCAAGCTGTCACTGGCACTCAACTGTGTCTCGTACGTCCCCTCTCATCGGCCGGGCCTTTGCGATCGCTGGGGAGTCCGTTGCGCAATTGTCTGACTGGCGGGTTTCTCAGAGGCAATCACTTTGACTTCCGAAAGCGGCATTCATTGGGAGTGTCTGGGAAGCATCGCCAATCACCGAGAATGACGAGCACAGTGGCATCAGAGAGCGTGACCAAGATGCATGTGAGTTGATGTCATGCTAGTGGGTTTGGTCTATTGCTGCTCTTGGCAATTGAGCTCACTTCCAAATCAAAGCCCTCATATCTAACGTGACTATTGCTGAATCAACAAGTTCCAGGGGATTGCTAAACTGCACTTGCTTGCAGCGGGCTTCTTGTGATGGACCCTTTCAAGACTTTCCTCGGAAGAAGCAGCATTGACTTTTGGGGCAAGTATTGTGAAGCCTTGCATGTTCTGTTTGCCCTTCGAATGCTAGTATCTGTGCCAGCATCCTTCTGATGTAACTCACTAACTCCTTTCGAATTTTCTACAATCTACACAGGATGACAAGCGTTTCAAGCCAGGGGCTGCAAAGCCATTCGTTGGCGACTTGGGTGTACGGCAGGGGTTTCTTGATGCCGTAAGTTGTTGCTGCTCAACCACTCCTGTTACAGGCGACACCACTCTTTGACTCCCAATTCTTGTATGATGAGTATCGACCAACTGAAGGCTGCAATCAAAGTAGACTCTCCAGTTTTGGACAGGTCACTCGTTGGCATCCATAGTTGGTTTGCACGATGCGAATTGAGATGTGCAGACTTGCATGACATGATTAACAGCATTAGCTGGGTACTCGTCCATAAACCCCCCTCTGTTGCACAGATTGGCAACACGCCCCTCATCCGTCTAAAGCGCGCGTCCGAGATGACCGGATGCGAAATCTATGGGAAGGTGAGAAGAGCGTCCTCGTCAGGCCATATGCACTCTCAGAAGCCTTTTGGTTTTTACTTCAAGAAACATGACGGTCAAAGGATCGTCTTAAAGTCTGTCAACTTTTCAATCAAAAGCGATCGGGACGTTGAATACCCTCTTTGTCTTTCCCGCCTTCCGATTGTGAGCAATATGCCAACCAGCCAGAGGGGCTACTTTGCCCGCGACAGCAAAGACAAGGCAGTGTTGGTATCTGTGTGTTATCATGAGTGTAACTAGTACAGCTCAATCCTATCTCTCGACTTTTCAATACACCTGAGGATGCCTCCAACCAACCAAGAATCATCCTACCAGACCACCTGCGGTGGCCCTGTCAAATGCTTCAAGAGGCAATCCCCCGGTCCAAAAACCACAGAGTTTATTCCCCATCCTCGTTGCTTGACACAGGCCGAGTTCCTGAACCCCGGGAGCTCCGTCAAGGACCGAGCGGCTCTGTACCTGATCAAAGACGCTGAGGAGAGGGGTCTGCTCAAGCCCGGGGGTATCATCGTTGAAGGCACCGCAGGAAACACGGGTATCGGCCTGGCGCTCGTGGCTAATGCCAGGGGCTACAAAACCGTCATTGTCATTCCCAAGACACAAAGTCAGGTGTGCTTTGCGGCTTTTCTTGCCTGGGTTCTGGGCTTTGCGGGGGTTCTCATAACGAAGGAGCACATGCCTTTTGTTTCTTAGCCGGACGTATCGCTTTTCGTGACCCTCGGTCCTGGCCTGGACCTCCAGATGCCATTTGGACCTTCAGTGACGGGGTTAATGTAACCTTTCATCTGGGCCCTTTATCACACTGCCCCTTGCCTGCATACGGCTCGAACGATGTGCTGCTTGTGAAGGCTGCAGGGTATCAGCTTACCTTTCAATGCTTTCTGGAACTCGAAAGGAAGCGACTCACGAGCCCGAGAGCCGGTAGCTTTTCCGCAGTTCACAATAGACACGCACAAGCGTGAGAGCAATCGCAAGGCCCCACTCCTCGCTAAAACACAGAGGCATGCCCATGTGAAGTCGACTGCTCCATAACCGTTGACTCCACAAACATCGGCTTTTCGCCTGCTCATATATTTTAGAGGACGGACATTGAAGCCCTTGAATCGCCCTTTACTGCGCAGGAGAAGAAGGACATGCTGTTGATCGCGGGCGCGGAGCTGGTCCAGGTCCCGGCTGTACCCTACAAGAACCCCAACAACTACGTCAAATACTCGGGCAGGCTCGCAGAGCACCTCGCAAAGGTCAGGCATTTAGAGAAGTGGGGCTCTCTCAAGTAGCCAAGCGGTTGTCGTGGGGGCTTGCTTTGAGTTTGATTGCGTATTGACACTTCGATTTCATCTTCTGGGCAACCGAAAGCTAGACTTAAACCGGACGGGGTCGCCAAAAAACCTTGAGGCGAAGTCGATTTCTTTGTCGCCCTCCCCCACAGGATATATCACATCGAAGTGCCTGATTTAGCTGCTCGTATTCACGAGAGATTTTTTCACTCTGGCCAGCCTGTAAGTACTTTGAGCAGTCTAAGTGGAGGACGAGACCAAAGCGCGTGGCCGGATGACATAACTACTGCATTGCTCAAATTCGGCAAAACCTCTGGCGCCCACCGACGCTCGCCTCCTTTTCTAACTCGGCAGACGAACCCCGGGGGGGCAATCTGGGCGAATCAGTTCGACAACAAGGCCAACAGACAAGCCCACTATGAGACAACAGGTACGCTATAACCCTTTTTTGATTCTCGTTAAGTTCGGAGTTGCTCTTGGGTTTAATCCCTTCGACAGCGATTGGAGCATGTTCTCTTGACTCTCGATGACTTGGTTATGGATAGAAAATTCGTACGAACCGCACCTTCGTATCTCTGCAGGCCCCGAGATCTGGGCGCAAACTGAGGGAAAGGTTGACGGCTTTGTGTGCGCGATTGGAACTGGCGGCACGTTGGCGGGGACTGGCAAAGTGAGCAGTTCTCGCTTGTCCTCTTCTGGATACAATGACTGTTTGGGTTTCAAAATGTCCCGAAGCTGAGGATACCGGCTGCGACTATGGAGAAAGTTGCCTTCTGATACTCACCCTGAGCGATGCGGTGTAGAGTTGCAGATTCGGGAGTTGACTTTCTCCTGTTCGTTTTCATGAGGAGTTACAATTCCGGTGTCTACGAAGGAAAAGCCTCCGCTTATCTGGAACGACTGCTCCGTCGTTTCGTCCCTTCAACTAGAAGTTCGCTCTAGAATCCTGAAAAGGACACAGTATCTGGGCCTTCTGTGCCTGTTCTAGATTCCTCCGTCGACAGAGTTTTGGGCCAGACTTGGCCTGGACGGATTTTATCCTCTGCCGGCCCGCTTTGCTGTGCTCGATCCTGGGAACACGGCTAATCCGAGGCAGATTAGTGGCATTTCCACAGCCTTGTGTTTGAGCTCACTGAGAAAACATCCCCACCATCCGTTGCAGTACTTGAAGGAGAAGAACCCCAACATCCGGATCGGAATGGCGGATCCGATGGGGGCGTCCATGTTCAACTACTACGCCAATGGAGAGCTCAAGTCCGAGGGGACGTCGGTGAGCGGCGCAGACTCCGATCAGAAACCTGTGCTCGGATCCGTCCAACATGTCAAGATGCCTTTGGCCGCTCCTGCTTTTTGGATAGCTGATGAGTCTAAAACACCATCAAGCGCGTGGATTGGTTTGGGAGGTTTGAACGATTGGGCGTTTACTCACTGCGTTTACAAGACATTTCGGCAGTGTTCCTGAAGATGTACGGACCTCAACCCGGGACATAAGCAGGTCTTACTCCAGACGCGTGTACGGTTTTACCCTACGTCTATACACTAAAGGAAGCCTTGCCAAGGAAAACAAGTGCCTCGTACCGGAAAACCTCAGAATATTGAAATGGGCACCATTTTGGGTGTTGGCCTAATTCAGAACTGTTAAGGGCCAGGTACAATAAGCTAACCACCCTGGGACGGGTGAGATTAGTTTGGGGATTTAGGGTGGGTACGGGTGCGGAGCAGGCAATTCGTTGGGTTAGGTTTTTAGTCTTTGTTCGGAGCTTACTATACCTGGCTCTTATTATGAACGAAATAGTCCGTCATCCATTTTGGCCGTCCGTCACACCCCGGTTGTCTGCCTGCAGTTGACGGAGGGCATCGGGCAGGGCCGAGTGACGGGCAACCTGGAGGGCTGGGGACAGCCGACGCGGGAAGGCGGCGTCGTCGACTTCTGGTGCCAGGTCAGCACGCCACGTGGCGGCCGTCCGTGGCGGGAAAGCGCCGTTTGTATATGTAATAGTGTGCGTTCGGCTGGATCTCGGGGCAATAAGACTGCTCCTGTCGCCTTTTCGCCTTGGACTCAATCAAACATCAAGTCGTTATAGAAGAGCAAGCGGTCAATTATCTGTGCCTCAAACGTGGGATAAAATGTAGCGGCGATTCGATCTTGGTCCAGGGCCAGAGTCCACAAAAGCGAAGCGTCAAATTGCAGATGCTCTGCTTGCTTCACGTGCAAACGCAAGAATGCGAGTCGAGTCCCTGTAATAAAAGCTGCTTTGTGCGAGGTACACAAAAGAAACATGCCCCAGTCGCAAATCATAACGTCACACCAACAACGCGACCTAAATTGCGGAAGGCCACTGCGCTTCAGGCTTGCTCGAGCATCGAGAAACACCTTTTCTTTTCACCTCGGATCATGCTCCAGAGATGCTTTAGTGAAGGCTTTTGTTTCTTTCCGGCCACGTATTGAGGCCCATCAGGGGCAGTGGGTTCTTGTTGCAAGCAGCGTCCCCCTTCGATATGAGAGGATTCGTTTCTCTCTACAAGCGTCCGCCGTACTGCTGATTGATACTGATGATCGAGTCCCTATGAAGTCAGGTCGATTTGGGCGCTGGGCTTGTACTGCAAGCGTTTGTTCGTGTCAAGCTTTTGCCATACTAAGAATCGAAAGTCCAATTCGGCTCCAAACGAGCAGGCGTTGCCAATCATCTCAAATCAAGCTCTAAAGATACTTCAGCCAACTCCTATAAGATTGGATTGAATCAAGGCACTGGGCTCTTGCTGTGAGTGTGGCTTGCGTCAAGCGTTCGCCATGCTGAGAACCGAAAGTCCGTTTCGGCTGCAGGTTCCGGACGAGGAGGCGTTGCCGCTCATCTACGACTTGCTCAAGGAGGAGGGCCTTGTCATGGGCGGCTCCACGGGCATCAACATCGGGGGTGAGCCGCCCTTTCAGACACTGGTAACTCGAGAATGTATAAACAGGAGAACTAAGATACTTAAGCCCCGGGCACCTCGACTAAGAACCCTGACCCAAAAGCTTACGCGCTTTGCACCCGCAACCACCCTAACCCCCAAACTAACCTCACCCGTCCTTCGGGTGCTTACCATAAAACATCGGCCCTTACACAAACCAAGAGTTAACGGAGTCCCTTTCAGCTTCTCCATGAAGCCCTCGTCAATTCTTCTCGACCAATGATGTCGCCTGCGCATGTGGTCATGACGAAATGTGTCTCGTTTTCGTGACGAGGGCGCGTTGCAAAGAGCCGTCTTCTCCTCTGGATTGGTTTGTTGCTCGGGAGAATATCTAGTACTTTCGGACGTTTGTTGTTTGGCCGGCTTGCAGTCAGCCGGACAAGGCTTAAGTCAATTGGTTGTGCGGTCAATGAAGTTTTCGAATACGTTGAGCAAATCGAAGCAGCGCGTGTTGGATAGATGTAGTTTTTGGAGCTAATAGGGATCTGCTGGTATGCTGAGAACTCTGTGGACCTGTTGAGCTCGACGCCTCGTCGCTACCAACCTGGCTGTGCAAGGCGCTGTCCGATACTTCGAGTAGCTTACCAGTGAGGACTCCGAACATGGAAGTCTCGATCTTGGCCCCTCTTCTCCGGCAGAAACTGACTCACTTGTTCTTCTTGACAGGCGCCATCAAGCTGGCCAAGGAGCTAGGCCCCGGGCACACGATTGTGACGATCCTGTGCGACTATGGGACGCGGTACCAGGGCAAGATCTACAACGTCGACTTCCTCAAGTCGAAGAACCTGCCCTACCCAGAGTGGCTTGACACCTCTACGAAGACGTCACAAGTGCCCAGCGTGTTTGTAGACCCAGAGGCCGTTTGAGTTTTAGAGAGATAGTCAGAGGCTTCGTAGCATAAACGCCAGAACGAGTTGGAGAAGGTGCATCCTTCTCTGGACAACTGTGTAGTTAGATTCAAGAGTTTTCCGTCTGAGGGGTTAGGCGACGGGGTCAGGTGCCAGAAAAGACGCTTTGGCCGTAGCTGCGCACTCGGCTCAGTGCATGAGAGGCCTGTCAAGTCTTGTACAGCCATGAAACTGCATATGCAGTCCGACATGCTGCCAGACCATAAAACGCCGCTTTCATTCCGACATGCATGTGGGCGACGTGCACAGCCTATTGCCGACAGTTACGTCGCCATCAATCTTCATAATCGCGACTAGCTCAGACTTGCATCACGCTGCATGGCAAGCGGTACCATATGTCATGGTGTGCAACTTGCACGGCCGACTTGTTTCAAGCGAATATACGATCGAATGGCAGACTCAGCCAGCCCGCCGAGCAAGGAATGAGCCCGCCCACCGGGCCGGGCAAGGAATTGCCCTAGCTCACCACGTACTTGCGGTATGCATGGTCGAAAAGTTTCTGTCTGAAGACTATAGTCCGACACTGACAGTTGCGCGTATACATGCACCGGCTATAGCTTGAAAGTGAAGTGCATACACATCATTATGCTTGCTTGCAGTGACCGCACCTATAAAGCTTGCGGCGGTGGTCGGCCCTTACCCATACATGAAGCCTGCTCATAGCTAGTAGGCTGATCGATGTGATGTGCGCGGCGTGCCAGCACGCAAGGTGATTGCAATTGAACATCTTTTCGCAGTGACTCAGTGCGCGGCTCGCGTATCGAGATCAAACCTTGCACACATGGCGATGAATATCGTTCATCATTGCAGACAGCCAGGCTGAGCCGGATACCCGAAGTACACGCTAACTCGGTAACCATCATTCGGCAATCAAGCCAAAAAGCCGTGTATTCCAATTCCAATTGAACACCGTGTCTCAGGCTGACATGGTGTCTCAGGTTGACATGTGGTGTCTCAGGCTGGAGTCAATGACAACCACTGACTCGATTGAGAGGCCGTCTGAAAGCATCCATCACCGCCCAGCTCACGCCCACACAGAAACTTTACAGTAGCTTCGCTAACATGATGGACGTCTGCCCTGAACCGATCCGCAGAGTCGACCTCGAGCTGAGCGCTTACGGTTGCGATGAGCAACAAGCTCAGTGCCAGATCCAAGGGTGGAAGAAAGAAGTGTTACAGTGAAAGGTACAAAGGGCGAAGGTTCCAACGTCAGAAGTTGCACTCCGCTTTACTTTTACGCTCTCCTGGGCCCGCCCTGGTTGCGGTCTTGGAAAGGAGGCTTCACGAACCCGCCCGCACCGGGGGCCGGGGTAGCCTGCAAAAACATCCCAATGACAGGTGAACATCCGGGACCAATAGAATTCTGCAGGCGAATCAGCGCAATTAGCGCTCTAACAGCCAGCCTATGGAGAGAGGCTGGTTGTTTCGCTAGCAATCAGCGCCTAGAGCTCAAATCAACCAAACTGTGAAACGAGGTAACCAAGTGGCCTCACAGTAGGAACCGAATTTGCCCTGCTCGACTGTGCCCAAACAATCTGTCCACTTCGCAACTTGAGTGCTAATCCTGTCACACCAGGCCAGCATCTAGACATCGGGCTGTGCTGCGGCTCACCTGCTGTACGACTCCCGGCAAGCCCGCCAGGTTGAGCGACCGCAGCAGGTCCATGGTGTCCCGGTCAACCTGTGCACAAGTACACATGCCACATGATCTCGAGTCCGACTTCTCCGCACTGATCACTATCGTGTAAGGTTTCGAAACTTTTCCGAAGTCTCACTGCACGAAACTGCTGAAGTTTCTTGCTCCAGGTCATGCTGTCTTGGAAGTAACAAATGCTTGCAGTCCAGAACTCGGCTAGGCATCGTACTGCCAGCCACGAGCTGTGCTGGCCGAGTAGACACTAAAAATCCTCCCAAAAAAGCACTGTCAGCGGAGAAGGAACGGCCCTCAAAACAAGCGATGCCAAGCAACAAGAGCCGATCATCCGCCTCAAACGGAACGTCTGTCAGCGCAAAGTCCGGCCCTCACCTCGATGACGTCGGTCTTGACCGCCGACTCCTCGGGCACAAAGTCCATGCGGCGCTCGCGCTCCTCCTCCTGCAGCTTCAGCGAGATGCCGCGCACCGGGCCCCGCTGGATGCGCTTCATCAGATGCTGCACGCACACGACCGCCACATCAGCACAAGCACGGGGCGCTCTCACTGCTTGCACAATGAGCGTCAGCGGGATCAATGGAACCACAAACAGCTGCCGTTTGGGACCGCTGAGCAACTGGAATTGCCCCAGCTCCTCAAGGCCCACATTAACACGAACTCAGCTGACACATTTCTGCGATGCTGACACTACATCTCACTAGGCACAGAATGTTGAGACCGATGCATCGACATTACACTCACAATACGCGGCTTGCCTTTGCAAAGCCACTTCTACAAGCCATGTCCGTAAGCTTGCGCCCTTCACGCTCCTACATCAGCCCGCTCGATCTACTGAATTGTGGGCATCCATTCACTGTGATCCTCGAAAGGGCTGCCTTTCCAAGATCCCAGGTATAATTCCCCTGACTAGCGCTTCCATGGACGTACACCTGGCAGGCATACAGCAACCATGCTTGGCCACAATCCTGTAAAAGTACACAAAAGCGGGCCCCACAGAGTGCACGCCAGCTCACCGTGGCAAATCCAGCGATCTTGTTGCGCAGCCTTTTTGATGGGATGATAGCGACCTCCTCCGCAATCTGTAGCAACGCCCCCGTTATGAGGTTGCATTGTAAAGCGGCAGGACAAACACAATCTGACACAATAACCCGCAATTCTAAGGTGCCACTGCATGACGATCTGTCCAAAACAATGGTCACAGCGTACTAAAATGGTCAGAATGTGCGCTTTTGGTCTACTAAAGGAGAACAACGCCTGGATCATGGGGGAGGGGGGGATTCGAGTTTTACCTTCTTGTTTGTCTGCAAGGGAAGCAAGAGGGGGAGGATCAGTCATGCATCAGATGCGGCTACGGCAAAATCAGTTGCTTGCCCAATGCAAATCCAGCCCACCGCAATGGAGACGCAGAACGAGTATCGGACTGTACCGCAATCTCTGTTTTCTTTTACATGACGATGCATCTTTCATTGCGTCCGTCGTGAGCAGCATCTGATTGGTACAGCAGGGCAACTCAGCGCACCTGGAAATCCAGCGTCATGCGGGCATAGTACTTCTCAATGATAACCCGGGACGCCTTCTTGACGGTCTTCGTCCTGACGCGACCCTGCATCCAGGCCCGGCACATATTAAGATCCATCCACCAATGTCCAGTTTTCACACCCCAGTGCGCGCTCCTCTGGAGATGCCGCAGTGAATCTGGCCCTAGACGCCTCTCTTAACTCGAGCACCACACCGCCAACCCTCACACCAGCCCTGTGCCCAATGTTCATTGACCCGCTGAAACCCATAAACACTGTCTGATCCCTCCATTTCGCCCATCTGTCACAACTCTATCGAGTAGCCCAGTAGAATTATGGTGCATCATGTCGACGATGCCCATTGGGGCCAAAATACTCTATTCTTCTCATACTTGAAACGGTCTATAGCGAATACTTCTTTAGTCTCTAGCTAATGAACCCGAGCTGGTGCGCGGCTGCCCCCAGTCTAACCGTACGCCCAATAACACTGCCACGTTGACACCCGTCTTGCGCACTGCCCGCCATGTGAGCACACGGTGCCCAATACAGCGCGATGAGCATGCCCCCTGGTAATGGTCCCCCCAAGACCATACAAGTCATGTGAGGACTCTAGAGACGAGCCCAGACACCATTACCATTGCTCTCTAACCTCCTAACTGCCCGGCAAAATGTGGGCGACTGCAAGCCCTTGCCCAGGAATATGCATCAGAAGGTTGCACTTTGGGCTGTTCCAAGGAGGGAGGAATATAGCTGTTGCGTAAACGAAAAGTCAACTGACAACTCGACATGAGAACCCTTTTGAAAGAAACCCTATGTCCAGCCTGGGCTTCAGCCTGCAGTGAGGCGTGACTTTTCCTGGCTTGCACGAGCTACTGCGCTGCAAAGCGGGACTACCATAAAAGCGAGCCTGAAGCAGCCGGCGGTAGAATCCTCAAGACCTCGGACTCCGTCTTTTCGAAGCCAGCACCAGAATAAAACAGCGAGAATGCCTACGACGCCGGCGTCTTCAAGAACACCAGAGATTCACCACATGATCGTCATACACAACCGTCACCGTGATGACGGAGGGGCAAATGTTTTCATGCCTTGGAAAAAGGCCCGAGAGAAGGAAAGAGCCCTCACCATCTTGTCAGACGATGCGGGACCCCTGCCAACAGAGCGCCTGCTGCTCCTGGTGTGCCTTTTGCAGGGCGCGTGAAAGAGGGCAGACTTGGGTCGAGATCAGCGGCAAGGACACCTCAGGAATTCCAGACTCACCAGAAATGAGTACGCGAGCTCTTGTGAAAGTGCCTTGAGAAGAGGCTCGGTTCTAAACGGCTATAATATACTCATCAAATTTACTGCCAGACTCCAATACTGTTTCAATTTGTGAGCACTGCCGATTTTGCAGTCGGCTGTTCATGCAGCTCGATATTGACAACTTCAACTGAAGTTCAAGCGAAGACGTTCAGGATCGAATCGGAACAATGCCAGCAATGCTCCTCTGAGATTTGAGAACTTGAAGCGTCTCTTTTCCCCCAAAGAATTGCAGGGCAATTTTTATTCTCCCTGATTAGCGTGACGCATTGAATCCAGAATGACAGCTTCAATGGGCACGGCACTGCGCGCTGCTGAGACGTTTAAAGTCTTCCACTGGGGAGTCGAAGACAGGCATCAACCCAGAGTACAATGCAGGGTCCCGCCAGCAAGTTGTAAACAAGTGCAGATTGAAAGCTTACTAGCACACACGCTTGCAGAAAGCCGGAGTTGCAGAGTCTTGGGACGGCGGCATAGTGCCACATTGAGACGGCATTGCCCAAATGTTCCCATTCGAAGGCAAGGCAGCGGGTGTGCCAGAGCTCAGTCCAGTGACACAGCCAATGCAGAGGAGGTGAGTGGCTAAAACAGAAAATGCAAACCGTGCATTGAACATCTGAGCATGGTGAAATTGAATGTGGCTTTGGGTGCCTCCCAATGTGAAGTAAACCAGCTGATATTGTGAGGGTGGCGCCACCCCAGGTTTTGTTATAAGACAAAGATCATCACTTTTATCAGCGTTCGCTGTCAGTTCATCTTGGGTCACATTATCTTAGCCCGACTTGGTGCCCCATTGACCTTGTAATCCCCTGAGAACTGGGAGTCTCTCGGTGGCTTCTTACAGACCATTTGCATCTTTGATGAGTCTTGGCAGCGGAGGGCGAAGGTTGTGGAGACACCATCCACATATTTGTTAGGGCCACATTTGTTAGTGCCTGTGCACTGATACTGAGTCAAAGACATGTTTTCTGTGGGCGGTGTCAGATGATTCTGGCGCTCAAACTGCATCATCCGGTTTGGGTTTTGCCCCATTCTGCCCCCACAATGGGCCAATTGTTGCCCACTCAGGGCTTTGAGAGGAACCAAAGCTGCTTTTGAAGCTCCCTAGCGCATGCCCCTCTCGTTCCTTGATTGGGCGCTAAGAGCTGTCCCGTTCTCGCAGGAAGTTGTTCCTGCCGGCAGTGTCTCCGTTGTACTCCTAGCCGGCGGGGTGGGGAAAAGAATGGGGGTAAGTCTGACTTGAAATCCCCCACGCTGACCAGAAAGACGACATGGGTTCTTTTGATTCTCCCCGAGTTTGATGTAGCCTTCAAGGGGCTGCTTTGCTATCTCAGCATTTGTTGTTGGTGCTTGCTTGGGCAAACGCTATGCTGCAGGGGGGCGTGTCAGGGCATTAAAGTTCCAGATTCTGGCCTTTTCATTAAGCAAGTCCCAAACCGAAGTGACTGGCGTGAAGGCACTCATAGTGCGTGCCTGATTTGGTTGCGCATTCCTGGTGCAGGCGTCCATGCCGAAGCAGTATCTGCCCATACGAGGCCAACCCATAGCGCTCTACAGGTGTGTGTCAATCAACAATAGGAACTTACAATTAAGAATGGCTGGGGGACAAGCGGCGAGGCTGTCACCACCGGCCTTCTCAACGTCTTGTCAACGTCGACAAATTGACGGCTCCGATCTCTTGTTTCCAGCTCAGAGCGGAATGCTAAGCTCGGAGTCTGGTTCAGGTCGCAAACTGCTATCGCCCACATGCACTCTTAGACTTGCTTCCTTTGGTGAAGAGCGGACGGCTGTGACACCGTTTTGTCCGTCACAGAGTTCTGCGATCTCCCTGTCAAAGTCTCTATATCAATAGAGACCTGGGGTTCTGAGTAGCTTGAGGCTACAAGAGATGTCTGCAGACTTTCCTGATGCTACAACAAGCAGCAAAGCGGATCATGACCCTTCAGACGAGGAATGAAGGAATCATTCTGGTTCTTTGTGAGCTCAACGCGTCTATCCATGAAATGAGACGTCACTTGTTTCGATAAAGGTGCACAATCCTCTTCCTGAAGCATACAAACCCTGCTGGCACTTCCTTCCTTCTTCTGCAGCCTGGCCCTGTTTGCATCTCTGAAGGAAGTTGGCGAGATCATCGTGGTCTGTGATCCTTCTTATAGACAACTTTTCGAAGGTGAGCTTGTTGAACAGCCACAGAACGGCCAACACAAAACCTTCGACAAGGTCGGAGATGCAGCAGCGGTGGTTCTAGCTGTGATTGTCGCACCAGTTCACAAGGCGTTACAATGAGAGGCCTCGAAAGGGGCCTACTCTTTCAATGTATCTCCAGACATGTTTGCAACACTGGGTTCAGTTGTGGATGCTTCTCAGAAGACTACAGACTTACGTCATCCCCAACAAGGTGGCTTGAGTGGAAACAAATGATTGTGCATGTTGGCGAGCTCATTTTGAATTCTGTGATATCTCGTTGCTGATGCAGATGCGATCCAGAAGTCGGGGCGGACGCTCCAGTGGGCCAGCCCGGGGAAGGAGCGGCAAGACTCCGTGTTCAACGGACTACAGGTGAGGCGCAGACCACATTCATAGGGTTTTAATGTGTTAAGGTTTTCAGGGTTGAACGGTTGGGCCGTTCTCTATTCACACTCGACAACCAACGAGCAAACGAGCCGGCCAGTGGTCGACTGTACTCAACGATCATTTCCCAAAATGCGAAGTAGTGGATGAGACCGCTCGAAAATCGAGCAAGATGACCCAGTTCAAGGTGCTTTCCTCCAACAACAAGCCGTGTGCAATCTCGTTCCGCCCAATCGTTGTTGAGTCGCTTGATTTGCTTCAAAATCGGACATCAGCGAATTCGCTTTTGGCATGCCATTGTCAGCCTTTTCTTTAGCCGACGTGTTGTCGAGGAAGTCCGAGCGAATGGCGCACGTGCTTGAAGAGGGCAAAGCCGTAGCATTTACAACTCCCACCTTCTGAACCTTTCAGATTATCAGTTTTCGACGATGCATCAGAATGTATGTTTCCGCGAGTGTCGTCGAAGATTCTTCGTGTTCGTTGATTCATTGCTCAGAATTTCAGCGGTCAGCACGCACCTTGACTGTCGGATCGTGTATATCGACGGTGGCGACGCTTCTCAATGAGGCGTAATACAATTTGATTCTTGAGTGGATGAGCAAGAGTCGCATGCCGTACGATACATAAACGAACGGTTTGGTTGCCTCCATGAATAGTTCAGCGCCTTAGTCTCTAAATGGCATGCCCTACAGACCCATCGGATCCATTCTAGTTCAGCCTCTCGAGTCTTGTATTCCGCAGGAGGTCCGCACGTCTGCGGGGCTGGTGTGCGTGCACGACTCGGCGCGGCCGTTGCTGACGCACGAGGATGCGCGGCGCGTGTTCCGGGACGGGCTCCGGCATGGGGCGGCCGTGCTCGGGGTGCCCGTCAAGCAGACCATCAAAGAGGTGGGCGGGGCGCACTATCGGAGTGCATCACTTTCCCGCACATTCTCGGCGGTCCAGTAGGAAATTCTGGTGGACGACACTGTCGGCTGCAGGGAGCGTCAGAACAGAAACGACACCCGCTCTTCTTGTGCTCAAGTTCTACGGGCGAGAACCTTTGCTGAGTACGGAAGATTTGGCTTCAGGGAGGCTTTATAAACAGCATTTTTGACAGCTTAGGCAGGTTTTTTCGCTTCGAGGGGCAAGCAAGCTGTTAACGACGCCCTGCTTGTTTTCCACCTCTGGAACTGATCAGCCTGAATCGATCACGCGTCGTCAAGCCCAACGCTCCAGAAAGGGCCCCGACTTCATTTGCGATTATTGGAAGTGTTCAACTCTTTCTCAGCTCCTTCCATATTATGCGCGTACCTGATAGAAGTCATTTTAAAGGCGACAGGCCGTCTGCTGGCTCCGTTCTGTTCACGCATTCCCTTTCTGAGTGCCAAATTGGTCGTTTTGGCCTCCAACTTTTATATCTAGACCGCTAGCGTGTGTTTTGATGTTCTATGTGGCTCATACAGGTCTTTGCGTCAAACTTGCGATCCCAATTTCAACTTCCGAGGCATGATCCCCGAAGTGAAGCCGTCGGATGCCTTTAGATCGTCGATTGTACAGTTCAAGATCGGGCCCCTTGTCCGAAAATCTGGAAAGCCGATGGCAAGTTTGACCTACAGCGCGTTTCGAAAGTCGTTCCATCTAGAGCATTATACCAGTTGCTGACGTGCTCTGTCCTGGGCGTGTCCGCAGGCAAAGGCGGGTGGCTTTGTGGCGCGCACGCTGAACCGGTCGCTGCTGTGGGAGATGCAGACGCCGCAGGTCATCAAGCCCGACCTGCTGCGCCGCGGCTTCGAGCACGTGCGCAGGTGGGCAGGCCGAAAGGTGGATAAAAGCGGACACGCTCGACTAAGCCTAATGCGCCCAATGTCGGACGATTATAAACCCGGATTTCAATTTCAAAGTGTCTGATTCAGCCTGCGGCTCCGCGTGTGCGTGTGTAACACGTGTCGCATGCGGCTCGTCTCCTGCTACTTTTGACTCGACATCGAACTCCGACGCGCTTGTGCAGCCGCAGACTGGGTTAACTGAGTTCGAAATAAAAAGTTGGGTTTGCCCGTCCGGAATCAAAATCGTCCAGAAAAGGGCGCACCAGTCTTACTTTTTGTTTGAACCTCGTGAACTTGCGTTTAATAGGGCCGTTCGATAGAATCTGCGATTGTATCAGTACCGAATTTTATCCTGCGTGCAAGTAGCGCGAGATATGCGCTTTGAAAGGGGTGTGATGTGGTCTGAGGGTGGCAGAAGTTGCCTTGCGAAGCTGGGTCGTGCGGCAGGCCTGCTACAGCTGTCTGCAGTAAACTTGCCACCTCCCCCTTTGAGCCTTGACCTCCGAAACTTGGACCGGTCGATCAGCCGCTTTCGAATTTCGGATGGGTCAGCTTCGGGTACTCGGCAGATTTTTGGCTTCCGACTTGGCAAGTTGGTTGCATAAAACTTAGTGATGGTACGCCGGTCTGAGTACCCGAGAGGAGGAGAGGACAGCATTGCGGCAGAAAGCGGCACTCACTTGTCGTACGTGGCAAAGTTCCCACTCAACGCCGCCGTTAGCAGAGGTCAACCCGTAAAGCGCCATGTGGGTGGATGAAAGCACCTGGTCAAAGATCAGACAGCTGTCTCTTCGCTGACGGCCCAAAACCACTTTGCCGAAAGCAGCCTGGGAAGCTGACGTGCGTCTCCTGACGTCGCAGAGAGGGTCTGGAGGTGACGGATGACGTGTCCATCGTGGAGTACTTGAACGCCCCCGTCAAGATCACCCAGGGCTCCTACACAAACATCAAGGTGGGGCAACCGCGCAGCCCCCGCGGGTGCCTGAGTAAGCAACGGAGATTGGTGTCATTGCGAAATTTTGGACAAGAAAGTCTGTCTCTCCAAAGTTGCGGAAATGACAGCGTCTTCAATCTGGCAACGCTTCTTTGACGGGCGATAATAGAGAATGCCAGCCCGTCAAGAGGAAGCTCACGTAGGCTTAGACTCTAGAGTATACTTCTGCCGGCAAATCTGACAAGGTTTGTAAGGAGAAGGCTGTAACATCTTCGGCGTGAGGGCATCCTCTGAGATGCACCTATACCCGGCGCTGCACGTGCCCCTAGCCGACCGCAACTCGTCATGCTCCTTTCAGAGACTGTGTCTTTACAGAGTACGTCAGCACACTGTCTTCCGCTGGCGTCGGACAGGCTTTTCATCTCGGGGCGTACTCGACCGCGACGGGCGCTGAAGCACAATTTCCGCGGGCTTCCCCTAACGAGCATCGAATCCGTGTTCCAGGTGACGACTCCGGAGGACCTGCTGCTGGCGGAGAAGCTGATTGCGGAGGCGGAGGAGCAGCGCGCGCAACGGCCGCTCGCGAGCGGAGTGGAGGCCGTGCACGTTGCCGACCTCACGCTGCAACAGGTCTAGGCCCCGAAGACAGGCGGGCACGAGAGCAGCGGTCTTGCTGAACAGGAAAGGAGCTCGAAGAGAGGCTCAAGAAACTGATCGCATTCGATCAGTGGAGAAACTCTCACTTCCGACCGCAGATGCTTCCTGATCTTTATGTGTTGTAGCGAAAAGCTGGCAAGCACGGGCATTTAGCAACACTGTCACCTGGAGTATGGAGTGCGGCCGTCCAAATCTGCCGCGCATGCGTGCGGTCCCTGTGATTGCCAATATGTTGGTTGAACAACACCCATTATGTAAGTTGCGCTGAGCCTGCGTATGCTTTTGGAATTATAAAGGAATTGGTTGACGCAGATTGTACATACAGGTACGAAGTGGCACTTGCATCACACGTTCTAGGACGGGCTGGGTTGAGCCACTTCAAGTTACCCGGCTTGAACCCCCGCCGGTGCCGCTTTCAAAGTTTTTATGCAGATCATTGCGCACTTTTGTCATCATGCTACCTATGCATGTGCGTGCCAGATCGACGCCTCAGCTGAATTTTTGCAAACTTCGGAAGGTCGGCCCGGCCGTAGGAGATCTTTAAGTACATATTCAAAGAGTCGGCGTTTGACGGAAAGGCTCAATATATCGTCCTAGCTTATTGCTAACATATGTACAAGCGGAATCTAATAACTGGCCGGGCCACGCAGTGGGCCCGGACGGTTGAATTCCTGAATCATGTATACTGTCGTCCCAATGATATCAATATGCAGATTCGATCAGCTATATAGCTTTCTTTCGATATCAGATCCAACTAGGGAATTGCAGGAACTCGGTTCTGAAGGATCGAATCGAGCGCGCGAGCTTGAGTCAAAAATATGCCATGCATATGGGCCTCGTGCGGAAGAAAAGGTGACCCGGCCGGGTTTCGTCGTCTTAATTTCAGTTAGAATGCGCTCGATCGAACTGCGCAGTGGGACCGTCCATGATGGGGTAAAGCATGCCAGTAACGGAGACGGGCCGGTAGGGACGGTTGGTGAGGGCGTTAGGCCGGGTGGGTACGGCCATACGTGCGCGGAAGGGGCGATTTTTAATCTGAGTTAGGATTTTCAGTGACGTACTCCAAAATGCTTACTATTCAACTGTTTACTACATCGAGAAATACGGGGTAGTGCGTCACGCATACCATGATATATTGTATAGGTGCATGCAAGTTGCAGTCCGACCATGCACATGCCGTACGCCCTCGGGCCTGATTCCGCGTGCATTGAGCGCCTGTGTCACGCCCTAGGCCCCCCATGTGCACTATAACGACTCGAGGTTTGACGGTTGACTTTTCAAGGATGGTGAGGTACCGGATCCTTCTGCTGTAAATCATGCCCCCAACTTGAAGCAATTTCGACAGGAGAATCACTTTTCCAACTTACCAGCTGGCACTGACTCGGAAACTTGAAACGCAACCCTAGGCCGCCATATCTGGCTGCAACAAAATCGAATAATACCATATTGTCAATCAAACAACGACCGTGTTTCTAGTCCAAGTTACCTCCTAAGCTGTCTCAAGGTTGTCCAAATTTGTGACTTAGCGCAACTGTAATAGCGCAGTTTAAGCCAGGTGTCTACAAGCCAGCATAATCTGTTCACAACGGAGTACAGCGAGTATACGTACAGAAGCTTGTCAAACAAGATTCAAAGAGCCTCAGCTAAGGAACAGCTGGCCCAAAAATGCTCCACTATCCGACCCTGGCCGCATGCCACGACGTTGAGTTCACTGCCCCTACCTGGCTGCATCCGCCTCTGTGTCTGATGCCAACCACTTTAGCGTCACACCAAAAATCTAATACACTGTCCCTCATAAACGCTATTCTTTTCCCACAAACTCAATAGAATTTTCCTCACAAACTCAACTGGACGCACCACTGGATATATCACATGGAAGTATTGTTGCACAGAGCGACCGCGCAGGTCGTCTTGAATGTAGCACCAGCATTTCTGTCGGAGCGGCGCCCCAGGACATCCGAAACAAAACCCTCGCTGCTTCGAGTTCTCTGCCCAGCTTCCCCGCGGTGGTGCCTCAGTAGGAGAAGCTCTCGGTGTGGATGTTGCCAGGTGGCACCCCCAGCGCTTCCAGGAGTGCCGTCATGTGAGTCTGGTACGTCGCCGGCCCGCACAGGTACACCTGCGACAGGCAGCGAAATCTATCAGCGCTTGGCTTTGAAGTGCGACCCTCCCTCTGAGGAGCGCACCGATCGACCTCATTTCTTTGACCCGCGGCGAAATGACTCTGATCTTCGTACGAATTTAGAAGGTGCCTCGTGCACGGAAACAAGCAACTGAATGGAAAGAGTTCCCTACTTACAGACGAAGCTGTTGTACTTTGGAATGAAGAGCCGTCTGCAGAGAAGCGTCCCTACACCTTATGATCATTGGGTCTCAAGCGACGAGACGCACTGAACCGGACCGCGCTCACTGACCTGCCTGGTCGCCGCGTCAGGCACGTGCTGCTTCAGACGGTCTGCAGTGAGGCGGCCATCCCGCTCCGTCAGATTCTCCACAAAAAGGAAGCCGTCCGTACTGGCGCTCACAGGCATCTCGGACCTGCGCAGCGATAACAGATCTGAGTAAAGCAGCAAAGACCGTTCGATCAGAAACATATCATGGGCGTTCACCTTCGGTAAGAAGCTTCGTCCTCCGAAAACATCCGAGGAACAGTCCGCTCGAGCTGAGTTTCGTGACAGGCGCCTAGACGTGCGCCACTTTTGCAGCCAAGCACTCGAAGCATGCCGAAGCGGGTGTCTCAGGCTGGAGCCGTGTTCTTACCTGAAGGGAACATCTGCAGCGGTGCGGGAGGTGTGAACGGCCACCACGTCGGGGGGATCCCCCTGGCCTGCCCTCAGCCCGCGCAGGATGGCCAGCATGGGGGTCACGCCGATGCCCGCCGACAGCAGCAGCAGCCGGGGAGCGGCGACCACCCCGGCAGCAGAGAAGGGCGTGAAGTCGCCCGCCGTGCCCACCAGGTGCACCAGGGTGCCGGGCCGGACGGTGTCGTGCAGCCTGCGAGAAAGAACAAGCACGGAGCCAGATTAGGAGGGGACTAGGGAGGGGGCCTACTGTAGGTGCCCAGTGTGTGTACAGTCGGTGATGGATCGAGAATTGCATACCGTAGAAAAGGGTTGGATGGACGTGCAGGTGTTGGCTTAAGTGGATTCATCCCAGCGTTCTCCGACAGACGTGCTCTGCTCCTCAAGGGCTGAAAGAAGACCTCAACTCTAGTCCATTCCGTCACGCAGTGGTCCCAATCATTCAGAACCAGCTCGAGTGGGGCAGCCGCCCCGCACGACCATTTCCAGTATCTTGGAACCCCTTTGTTTGTACAAGGGGCCTACTCACCAGGTGGATGCGCGCCCCCCCGGCAGGCGCTTCACGGCGATGGAGAAGGTGCGCTTGTTCGGCGCTGCAGTGCTGGTGACGGTCCAGCTGCGCATCAAGTGCTGCGCGCCCGCACCCCCTGCCCGCGGCACCTCCAGATTGAACATGGCGTACTGCCCCGGCAAGTATTGCAACACGTTTTCCGTCTCAAACGTGAACTCCTTTACGAGGGGTGTAATCTGCTGGATGTTTACCACTGTCACGGTCTGCTCGTCCTTCCCCGGGGCTACCGTGCTGTTCTTGGCAAGGCTGGCTGGCACGGGGTAATTGTAGGGGGAGTAGTCAATCAGCTGGTAGTCAAAGGGGACGCTGTTCTTGCGGTGCAACTCTTCGTCGACTGTGAAGATAACGGCGCGCTCCGCCCCGCCCAGCAGGGGCGCCAGCTGGCGGCGTGCGATGTCCTCCTCGAACAGGACCTGCGCGTGGCCGGTCAGCTGCAGCAGCGAGTGGCCGGCCCAGTCGATGAAGAGCAGGCCCGCAGCGGGGTTCAGCTGGATGTTGCCCAGAGTCTGCGCGAGGGGCGGAGAGGGGGTGAGATCTTTGCAAGACGGAACACCGATCAAAAGGCCATTGAACAGCGCTCCAGTTCTGGCAACAAGCAGTAAGCGAGCAATTGTTTCAGGAAGCGGACCCAGGCCGTGAGCATAGCCCCAGACCTCCGCTTTGGCGACCAAGTGGAGAGGGCGTGCTTCGAACCAGAAAATACGATGGAACAAAACTTTTTGAAATGCAATACGTGCATCTTGCGCCAAATACCACCCCTGTGTTTTGAGGTGCTCTTTCAATGTTCAAGGGCTTAGCTGGCTGCCATGTGGTCCAGTCAAGAGTTAGCCAATCAAGACACTACATGTTCAAATAAGCGGCTCACCATGAACATGCCATTCCCAGTGTAGTCGGGCCACATCAACGTCCTCTCGTCCAAGAATCGCACAAACCCGGGGGATCCCCCGCGGTGCGACGCATCTGCTCCTCCCCCTGGGTTGGCTGTGGCCACAAACATCATATCCGCCTCTGCAATCAGCCGCTGCTGGTCAGGAGTTAGGCTCTGAGTTTTGACAGGGGGGGCTTCTCCCTGGAGCAAACCAGCCCCCTGTGAAGGGGAGGAGATGGTGCGCCGTGTGATGTACTTGGGGCAGTTGCCAAAGGCCTCTTGTACCTGCACGAACAGCCCACCAGGGGGAGCGCGCGCAGGGCGGCTCACGCCATTGATGCGGTTGCGCCGGCGTGTTTGCATCTCAATACTGCACAGAAGGTCGAGAGGGGTCAGAACAATGCGGGTTGCCATGAAGTAGCCAGACGCCATATGGCAATGCCAGACCATTACAGGAGGGCGATTATAGGAGAGCGATTACAGGAGGACCAAAAAATCACGGACCAAGACAGGCCATAGGAGGAAGGACTGCCGCAACCATGTGACACTAAACAACAAAAAAAGGGGCACTTTCACTTGCCAATCAGCACACTCAATTGCTACAAGTCACTGCTAAGTCGCCCTTTGAAAATGCATCGTAACGCTGTTCCAAACATGCACACATCAAGCCTGGAGTTGACCCTACAATGCCAACATGAGTTTTCACTTGCCCGGTTGATCCCTTTATCCCCTACTGCATCCCCTCACCTCCAACGCATTTTCTGTGGGCAAAATCCTCCCCAGCAGGCGCCTCCTCCTGAGTCCTCTTTATCAGCATTGTCTTCAAATGATTCTTGTTTTGAACGGGTCGTGGTGCTAAAACTCACCAGAGGAAGCCCAGGGCGGCTCCATCGGCCAGTGCATTGTCGTGCAGGGGATCCCCTGGGCTGACAGTTGGCATGTTGTCGGCGCCCACCAGAAGAGCTGAAGCATCTGGAGTGACGCGCATGAAGCCGGGGGCGCCAAACAGCATGCTGGCCCACAGCCGGCCCTCAGAGTCCGCTGACGCAGCGATGACATCACTGCGCTGCTCCGCAAAGAGGGAGAGCTGCTGGTTCACTAGGGGCCGCACGAACCCCTGCACAGCGCAGGGGAAGAGTCAAAGGCAGAAGGGGTGCTGCCAGAGACCACAATGGGACCCTTATGAAATACGTTTACTCTTCAAGGACCTTCACGTTGAGAGTTGGGCCCTTTTGAGCTTTGGGCTTGTTTACTTGTGAATAGCAAAGGGCCAGGTTCCAAGATCTAGAACAAAGGAAGGTACATCCACCTCACAAGAAGCTCACGTGCACCTACATTGTTGAATTGTGACAGAAGGTACAGCCTGAAAGCAGTTTCGAGACTCGTGCAGGCACACACGATTGCACAAGCTTCAAGAAGGTTTCCAACCTGCAATGCCGCCCACTCACCGCATACTGGGCTGCCTGCTCCGCTGTGCCCACTCTGCGCTGCACCGCCAGCTCACCATCATGGTAAACCATTACTGTTTGAGTAGCTCTCCGCGTTGACTTGGTTGGACCTCCTGGGCTGGGCTTGCTCAAAGAGGGCCTCCAAACGGAAACGAAACTGCGACCCTGCTCTGTAAGTGGTGCTGATAGCAATGGGAGGGATGCAACCTTTGAACCACAGCTCCCCAATGTTCTGGTGCTCATGAGGCTTGGAATGACCAGCGAATGTCCAGCAGCAAACGTGTTGAGTGGGCGGTGCTTCAATGTTCAATCAATTGTGATGCTCTCAACTTGAGGGCCTGCAATACAATGAATGCTGTGCGGCATTTGCAGCCGCTCTTTATCCTTGTGCAAACTCTTGGCTGCACTTGGCTACCAAGTCGCTGCCGTAAAGCTTGTCTGCTTCAGTCCATCTGATTTCTGCAGCCAATGCGATCAAAAATTGCTCATGTTCCTGCTTGCAACTTCCAATGTTGAGTCCACTGATCAAGCATTCAATTCTGCTCCAAGTCCAGGCCTGCGCAAACCTTGAAGCAGAAAATGCGTCATAGAGAAGGGTCTAAGGCAGAGCAAGGCAGACATGTAGCTGTTATCAGGTCTTGTTTGGCCCCGAAATGCGGAAGGGCCTTTTCGCCAGCTCGCAGCTAGCCGCTCAGCTGGTGCCAGCAGCTGGAAAATGAGCCTCAGCTTTCGTTCTGAGAAGTTGCCTCCTGCAAATTTTATCTCCCAAAATGAACCTCCAGAATGTTCAAGCTGGCGTCTTTTAACGGCAAATTCGGCGGCACTTCTTGCCGGCTATTTCAGTCTAGAGGATAGTCACGACGATTTTGCCGTTGCTGGAAACGCTGCCGGTTGTAACTTGCCCCAGTCCAAGATTCTGCCCGAAGGAAACTTTTCTTGGAACAGTTGCATGCAAGCTAGGGCCCGGCCGGGGCATCCATTGGCATTGGCATTGGCATGGGTGGTGCTTTGGCCTAAGGCTAAGGCTACACGCGAGCCTGTTCCTTGCGAAGTGGTGCATGCCACTGCCAGCGCCGCAGCGGCCCAGCTAGCTACTTGCTCAGGAGGCTCATCAAGCTGGCGCAGGAAAAGGACGACTCCTCCAACAGTCGTCAAGAGCCGCAGCGATAAGGTGTGCGCATGGTCCGGCGCATGCTCTCTTTCAAGGAGGCACTTGATCAGGTTTGCACAAGCCATAAGTCGGGTATCTGGGGGTCCACACGTGCGAGCAATCAAAGTGTACTAGCATGACGTCCCGCGGTGTTCCCTTTGAGGAGGAGGAAGACATGTTTGCCTCTGGCAATAAGCGGAACCCGTGGGTGCCAGCAGGTAAGGCTTGGTCTGTGAAGCTGTGAGGCTCAAAGATCTGACACTACAGTGCAAAGTGTGTCAGCATTGCGACGATTCTTGGAGGGACAGCCCATTCAGATGCAGGATCTTTCAGGATCTTTCAGAGATCCGTGTTATTTTGAACTGCTACTGATATCAGAAGTGCAACTTGTGAGTGGAGGTGTTCATGAGAAGCACCACCGCTGATTGGTGCTTGACCTGTCAATCAAAGATGACTTCCTAGCGCCACCCATGCACTCCCATTAGCTGATGACCGCAGGCATTACTCTCAGGGATACTGTCATGTGCTTGGCTGTCTGATCAAGACTGATAAATAGACAAGCTGCACCAACCCTGCAGGTGCCTTCTTGACGGCTGGCGTGCTAGCTGCGGGACTGTATGCTTTCAAGAAGGGCAACACGCAGAGAAGTCAACAGCTCATGCGCGCACGAGTCGTCGCTCAGGGGGTCACCATTGCCATAATGGCTGCGTCAGTTGGAGCAGGGGGCTTCTCAATGGAGGGAGTGGGTGACAAGAAGTAGTCAGGGCATCATATCGATACAACAGGTAGTAAGCTAGCTAGAAGACACTCTCCGACCCTGCGCCTCGGAAGACCGCCGTGGCAGCATGGGTGGTGCTGCACCAGCCTGCTGCCAGTGCCCGGCCCAGCCATCGTCAATCTGGCACAGCCAAAGAGTTCGTCTAGCAGAAGTACAATGCGGCCGCAGCGTCGCTTATTCGGTCGGCAGGCCACTAGAGTCCTCGCAAAGTAGACTGTGTAATAATCCGCCCACCTTTGTTTTTCGAGCGAGGTGGCAGACCCCAGTATACGCATTTCAGGAATCTTTCAGCAGCCCCCCCTCTGTAGCACGCCGTACTTGTGAATGGACGCCAGCTGGCGACACCGTTGTCTGCAATCACCGATCAGCCCACCAGCAGCTTAAGCACACATTGTGCAGCGATCATAGTTGTAAAGGTGATGATCAGGGTGGTAAGACCACAACCGAGCCGGGCTCCGTCTATGAGGTCCACACCCGCAGTGCTTTGCTGCGACACTCGGTTGCTATCACAGTGTGCGGCGCAGCTCTTTCCATGCCCCCCACCGCAACAAGCGCAGGGCTGCCGTTTGGGCTGGACCCCCCTCTTTCGCAGCGGCTGAGTGCGGACCGCGTGTACAACCCGGGGTCGGCCCTGCTGGGGCCCTTCCAGCTGTACTACCCGCAGTGGCTCTTTGGCACCTGGACCGTCACAGCGAAACTGACGGGCTTCAAGGCGCCGCTGGGGGAGCGATTCATCTCCACCGGGTGGGGCGTCTCTTGCTTGAATCCCTACTTTTGGATCATCCGCCATGTCCCCAGCTCTGTCACAATTCTGATATGCAGAATCTTGACGGTGCGAACCTATCCATTGGGCCTGGATTGCGTGGTACTGCTCTCTTTGGAGGCTCCTACACAGAGTCTGTTCAGTGCCACTGGCTGGCTGACGTGGCATCGCTTTTCTTCCGTGGTTGAGCGTTTCTGTCCCGCATTCTTGGAAGGCGCTTTGTTTATAAAGCCCCTGCGATCACATGGATCAACACCAATTTTTCCCTGAAGCTCCGCACCTGACCTGCGAGTAGCTGGTGCAGGCTGGCGCGAGAGGTGGCAGATCCCCGCTACGGCGTGGGCTCGGCGGTGCAATACGAGGCGCGCTTCTACAGCACGCTGCCCGACACATGGGCCAACAAGCTGCGCGTCACGGCGGGGCAGCTGCCGGAGAGTGCCATCATTGCAGACAGGGCATTCAATGCAAAGTGAGCCGCTTGCTTCTTACAAAAGTGCTGTTGCTGGCCAGTCTGGTGCATCGCAACTTTTGTCTGAGATGTGACAGCCTGAAGCCTCGTGAAACCAAAGACTACGAGACAGCTGTCCTGCGGCCCAACAAACCTGTCAACGATAGCCACATGCTTCGTGCAGGGGATCTACCGTGCAATCAGCAGGGCCGCTTAGGGTTGTCGTGCTTTCCTGCGTTTCCTGTGCTATCCGTCTGCTAAACGATGGTGCAATTGTGAGGCCTTTCAAAGAAATAGCACAACCGTTCTGTCCATTGGTTTGAACCTTAAGGAACAATGGCTATACCCAGATGCTTAACTTGTTCCAGGGTCGTTGAGAACAAGGCTCGCCAATGAGGCTCACCAGTACGTTTTCTGCGTGCCAGGTCGCTTATGGAGGCCAGCCTGGGCTACGGCGGCGTGCAGGAGTCGGTGTACGATCCACGTGGCAGCCCCACGCGGCAGACCATCGTGCTGAGCCCCAGCGGGCCGCAGGGGCAGCCGCTCGGGCCGCGCAGGCTGGAGCTGTACATCAACAACAGGTGAGAGCACGAAGCAGGAGGAAAGCGCGAGCGGTGGCGGCAAATTGTTTCAAAGAAGCCAACCCTTTACTTACGGGTGTGCTTGCTTCTAACTGGAAATGATGCTTTTCTCTTAAATTCTCGAGGACTGTCGTTTCCAGTTTCATCTGCAGCTGCTAGCAGCACACATTTTCTTTTGTGGGGGCGATTCTGAGCAAATTCTATCTGGGATAGAAAGTAAGCTCTGGTGGCTTTTAGGGTCTTCGATACTTCGACTTTGTAACTGTACTATCAATTCCCCCCACTAACCACACATCCGAAGGATGAGACGCACCTTCAAGGTATGCTTTCTTTTCTTTCCTTCGTCAATAGCCGAGCGCGCAACTGCGTAGCCGCCGGAACATAATTGCTAACTCCAGTCAGTAGCACCGTAACTTGAGTCTGGACCGATTGCAGGTGCTCGAGCCGCTATCGTCCAGAACCTGCTCCAGAACAGTGGGCATGTCGGCTAGAATCGCATGCCACCCAGGATTTGCATTAACCCCTTTTTCTGACCCTGGCGCACTGGCCCTCGTGTGTCCAGGTTCAGCGAGAGCGACGCCGCTGGCGACTTCGTGTGCGCCGAGTTGTTCCGGCGGGTCAAGCTGGGCGTGCGCCAGGTCGACGTGGCGGACTCCGAGGCCATTTACCGCTTCCACCGCGAGTCCGACGACCGCATCACGGGGAGCAAGCGGCGAGCCATCTACCTGCAACCGCAGGTGAGGAACAGCGAGCTCTGCGGCGATTATGTTCTCACCTCGTGCCTCAGGGCGTGCCTCGCCGTGCAGAACTGGAAGATTGTTCTCAAGCTTAACATCTTGCGAGAGATGAGCGGCCGTCGGAGCCGGTGCATAAACAAGAGAGCCAATAAGTCGTGTGCGCAGATGGCCTTGTGCTTGTAGTCCGGTTCTGTCTTTGCGGACTGTGAAGCAGTTAAGATGGTGGGGCCCTCAAACTCGCACCCAAGATGTTGTGTTTTCGACGGAGTGTTCGACATCTTCAAGGGAGGCGGGGATACTTTTAATCGTCGGAGTCCTGAAGATCACACCCGACACATTGGAGAACGGTCGTGCAACGGCTCCGGTACGAGGTTCAGGGCCCCGAGATGGTCGCTATCAGCTAAGCCGTTTGCAACTCTTTTTGAAAATCCTCAGCATTTCGAAAGAGTGCCCTCTTGTCGCTCACTAATAGCAATACAGTATCAGGCGGGGGCAATTTTCTGCTGGTGTTTGGGGTCCCTTCCCACCGCCAATCCGTCCTTTTGTTGCCAGGACGAGCTCTACTTCGAGGCTGGCAACTGCGCGGTCGCCCTTCTCGACTACGCCCTGGTGCTGCAGCGCGTGGACCCCGGCCAAGACTGCGTCCTCACGCCCAAGGGAGTCACCCAGTGCGTCGGCCCGGGCGGCTGACGCAGCACCTCGACGTGCCACGGGGCTTGGGCAGGTCTTCTTTTCGCAATGCGGAACATTGTCAAAAGAGGTGTAGTTAGCGAGCTGAGCTGTGGCCATGATCAAAGCACGCGCATGCAGATTGACCAGACTCCTTGATCTCCCCAACCATTGCGTCACACCTGGTTGAATTCAACCGTGTTAAGCGTCCCATTGACAATGGACGCTTGTGGTAACCAACCCGATGCACTGGCAATTTGGCGACAAATTGTGTCTTGCAATCTCAGACGGCACTTCTGCGGCAACCTGCTTGTTGTGATCCGATCCATGCGAGGCTGGACTGGTCGGAATTGTAAAATCCAAGTGTGGATCCACAAGCATGCATATCCCATTCCCCGCCACTCCGACTCGAACAACTGTCACATACTGGTACCATACTGGGCCGCGGTACTGGGTCGCACCAAAAAGTGAGTTTATAAGGTGCTTGATTACCGTACAAATCAACTGCGATCATGAGCAACACAGCGCTTGCTAGTTCGCGAGCCTGAAGTAATCCAACCATATATGCGTATGCATAAGGGCTCACTTCGAGCGGTAACTCGGGCGGCCGCGCCCGTTTTTCAAGCCCATCGCCAAGGTTTTGATTGTATCTATATGTACGTACACCAATTCCGGACCTTATAAGCTAGAAGTGGTAAAAAAGGACAGGGTTTGCCCGGCCGCGGGCCTGATTATGGACCGCGGGAGGTGCAATGCATGCATGATGCGATAGCTTAGTCGTTTGAAAGAATCAAGAGGATACGCCGTATATACGCGTTTAAGCATATCCTAGTGATCGTGACTATAAGGTGGTCGGCCCGGGGCCCGCGGCCCGCCGGCCGACGGTAATCCCACGGTTGATAGGATATACAATGCATGACGGCATATGGATCGCCCCTAGCTGAGCTGGGCGCCTGCATCATCAAGTGCATCGGATTCATCCGGAGTGACTCACTAACCGTCGGTCGCATTGAGATCGGACTCTCTATACAAGCACGCCCACAGGGCCAGGCGGGGCTAGCGCAACCGTCCATGTTATTATGTAAGTATTGAGGCAGTTGATCGGAAATATTCCACTAACCCGCATTCGTTTATCACTGCACTCGTTGACAGATTCTGGAGTTATACAATGTTGCCTGGCCAGCTATACAGCAGTGGTGTGCACGTAGCAGGGTCACTGAGATATCCTGTCCGTAGTCCGAAAGATGACTTTCAGTCATTTGATAACTTCAGGCATTTCATGCTGTGCGAAGGCCGCTGCACATGTTCCTAATGACGACGCTGCAACGCCTCCATTAGTTCAATCGAGCATCCGAAAGTCCGAGTCTCTCTTTAGGATCAACAAGCTTACAGTCCCTAAAACAACCTAACTTGCAGTATTCCAATTGCATCTAGCGGACTCCAATACACTTGGTTGCCGATGACGGTTTATGTACAGTGGTACGACGAGCTGCTACAAAACGGACCCGCATTTTTCCTCCACCTGTGCTAAGAGCTGTTCCTTAAATCTGATCTACGTACCCACAATCTGCCAACGTCGTTAACAGCGAGCGATGCGCGCGCGGTGCGGCTGGGCTAGCCTGCGTGCTGGAAGGTGACCTGCTGCACGGCCTGCGCTGCAAACCGTTTGTGGATGCCGCTCCCGCTGCCCGCGGCGATGCGCTCCAGCACCGGCAGCGCGCCGCGCAGCCCCGCGCGGGCGGCCGGCAGCTCCGCCAGGTTCGCGATCAGCTGCACACAGCACACAGAAAGGGAGAAGTGAGGGGACACAAAGATCACCTGTGAGGCGCTTGAACTTGCTTCTCCATGTACCCAAAAAGCCTTGACCAAAAGTTTTCCCTGCTACGAACCACTTCGGTCTGGCGGCTTGACATTGTCCTTTAAAAGCCTCAGGATGTCCTTCCTTTTATGGTAAAAGTGAACGTGCGAGGATGGCGAACTTTGGCTTTTGATACCAAATTCTTGACCGTTTTAGGTTTGCTCGGGACGAGAGATTATAAGCACGTTTACTTCAACGCTCTGACGTTTACGTGACAAACTTTTTCGCAGGGTTTCATCTTGCTTACAGGACAGTCCTAGATTTCCAGATTGATCCGGGCCCCATTATCTGTAGACGGGCGCTCGAGTCGCTCCGTGTATCGCGTTTCCCTGAGTTCTCTGGGAGTCCGGGGCGTGGCTGACCTGCAGGGTGTGCAGGCAGAGCGTGCCTTGTTTGTCGTCCAGCAGCGGCGGCAGGTGCGCCAGGCCGCCCGCCGCCACGAAGGCCTCCTTGCCCACCAAGGGAACCGTCAGGCTGGGCACGCAAAACACAGCACGCGTCAGTGCTATGAGAGGGGCTTTGCGCCGAGCGGCCGACGGTTCGTAAGTCGAACCAATCAGGTAACAGACGTGATGTAGTTTTAGTACAGGTTTTCCTAGATGCATGAGTGAACACGAGGACAGAGGCGGTGGGAGCAATCTTGTTCACGAGCTGAATCTCTGGAAACTTGAACGTTGTCTTGGGTCGAGAAGAAACTCAACCTTGATTCGTTACCCGACGGCGGCACTTGCCCGCTTCTCGCTCACGGAGAGGACCAGGACAACGCTATTCTAATTTCCTTCTCTTGCAGTTGCCCTGGCCCATGATAATTGGCGGGCGGGGTTCCTCAGGAGCGTGTTCGGGCCGGACGTAGTCCCATGCTGCTCGACGTGCCTCACCTCATGAGCGCGCTCGCGGCCGCGGTGCGCATCCTGACGCTGCTGTCCTGCAGCGCCACCACCAGAGGCGGCATCGCCCCTCCTGCCACACATGCCGCCTTGCCGCCCTCCGACACACTGCGGGGGCCAGCCGGCGGCGTGAGCATGAGGGAAAGTTGTCAACAAGCGGACAGCTCAAAGAAAATTAAGGCAGCTCGTCTGCTGAGAAGGAGACGTAAACGGATATCTTGAAAAAAGATTGACCATGCTTTGGGAAGACGTTAAGCGGCTTCATTGCTTCCGTAAATGGGGCCGGAACTCGGATCTTGAAGCTTGACGTTGCGAGGAACGACACTAATCCGATCATACTTTCAAGTAGGAACGAAAAGCCTCGACTCATGCGCTATTGCTCGTTTGAGAGTCATTCGTTTTGCCGTCCGCATGCAACCTTGTTTTAAAGATAGTCCGGCCATCATGATGCAAGAAACAAGCCCTTACATTTGCGCCTCTTAGCGCCTCCATCGAAAGGACGTGGTGCGCATCACTGTGTGACCGCTCTCTTACAAATGGATAGCAGTTGCGCCGATGCGGGCTCGGACCCGTTCTCGACCGTTCAGCATTAAATTAAGCCCGCTAGGGGCTCTCACCCAAGCTGCGCAACTAGCCGTGCCGCCGTCTCCCTGAGCGCCGCATCGGGGCTGCCCAGCAGTTTGACCGCCACCGGCACGCCCTTGGCCGCCAGAGTCTGCTCCCGCGCCGCGTCCCCCTGCGTTGCGTGTTGCGCGCACTGCACCAGGATCTCGACCGCATGCCGAGCCCGCTCCCCGCTCTCCACGCCCGCGCGCTGCACCAGCAAGCCCACCAGCCAGCCACCGCCGATCAGGATCTCACGCACTGCACGCGAGGGACGAGGTTCGGTGAGGCGAGACAAGAAGCGTAGTTCGTCTTTCAACAAACAATTTTGGGCGCGGAATACTCTTCGAGAACGGGATCGGGGTTCGAGGTGCACAAATGACCAGAGAAGCGACCATGTACAATGCCCATGACCTTCGAAACCTCCATTCGAGACATTTGACCCCAGTTTATAGTCTGTATCAACGGTCGCCTACCTCTCGGTTGGCTGGAAGCCGCTGCTAGCGCTTCAAAAGCAGTTGTTCGAATCTTCCCGTCATCATCCGTCAACTGCAGACAAGGAAAGGGCTCTTCACACATCAGTACAAGCAAGGACTTTACAGAGGAGGGATCGCACCGGCAAGTTCGTCAAGATGAGCCGTTGCGCGTAGAGGCTTTTGATGTCCCTCGATTCTTCTAGCCGTCTAAGTTGGCACGAGGTCTTTGCTCCTTTCATGTTTTACTACTTGCAGCTGGCTCACTCTGGCCGGCTGTGTACTTTCTCAAAGTCGAGTCCGAGGTGGTCCTGTCAACTATGTGCCTCCTCCACCATCTTGTATCACACGAATCAAGGGACGTTTGCAGTGTGGTGCGTGGCCTCACCATGGCCACCAGCTTGAGCACAACCCCATTGTCGCACAGGTCGGCGCAGCCCTTCTGGCTGCCCGCAATGTGCACCATGCACTGCGCCGCCTGCTGCCGCACCACCAGGTCACCATCCACCAGCGCACCCGCCAGCGTGCCCGTCACGCCTGCAATGCAATTCTTACCTTGTTCAGTCAAAAAAACGGCTGGAGCCCAGTGCCTCTGTGAGTTAGTGAGCCAGTACGATGCGGCAGGCCGGAAGTAGCCGTTTACACTTTCAATTCAGATATGTGGTAGAAGACGTTGACGAAGTTGCAAGTAGCTGACCGGGTACGAAGTTGTTGTGAGCTCATTGCTAGGATGCTAGTCCCACTGATTGACGGCGGCAGAACACGAAAGCAACAAGCAGGCATAATCCTGACGGCAAGGGCCTGGCCGCATGCGCACCTGGAATGGCGAGGCACTCGGCCCTGCTCTCCGCAGTGGCCAGCAGCTCGCTAGCAGCCTTGGTGGCCTTCTGGCGCACCGCCAGGTCGCTGCTGTGCAGCAGCTCGGCCTGCGGGCAGAGGGGGAACAAAACTCAATTTTGAAAACGTGCAACTCTAGATGAAAGATACAGGAGGTGGCAAAGGCCCATGAAGGCGGGGCACGGCCCCGGCTGAGTGAGGAAGCCTTCGAACCTGATGAGGAGGTGAGGCAGAGAAAGCAGGCAGGCAAAAACCCAACTCCAGACGTCTGAGTGAGTCTTCTCATGTATAGTCAACGGTTTGCATTGCAATGGAAGCACCAGATTACGTGAGATCTCCAGCTGCCGGTTCGTGGAGGGCAAGGGCCAGATCTTGAGCAGCATCATTGTGAGATGTTTATGCACTCTGGTCTGCAACATGCAACATGGCCCACGGTTTGACGAGCGTTCTCACGATCTTGTGGAAGTTGAGCTTGCCAAAGGCCCTGGTCACTCTGGTGGGGCTGTGCGGGCTGGGCAGCGGCCGTGCTGTGTGTGCCAGGATGTGCAGCTTGTGGGCCTCGTGGGGCCCCGCTGCAGGGCCCCCCGCCACTGCCAGGCTGGACCCCATCACCGCACGCAGGCGGCTCTGCAGTGCCGATGGGGGCAATGCTGTACTGGACACACTGATTTCGCTTCCAGGCGGCACCTTGGAAGCATTCTCCAGACAACTTAGGAGCACGACTGCAAGACTCTAGTTCATGCCCACAGTGTTCAGAACATAGGATTGACAGATCTGCGACTGTGATCTACGTTATTGTCCAAGTTTCGAAAAAGAGCGTTCCCAAAACAGTTGCGGGCTTGTATAGAAACAATCGTGAAGGCTGAAAAGTGGCAATGCTGTGTTGCAATCGTTCTGCTTGTTGCATCAAACCAGGCAAGCAGGAGCTTGCTGGAAAAATGCTAATCAACCAGCGAATTACGTTATGAACGTGTAATCAGACACGTTGGTCAACATCTGCCAATGGTCGGCCGGCTTATTCATCGAGATGCAGCCTGGTGCAATGGTTGTCGCTGCATATGAAATCAGCCCATGTTCTATGCATGGGGCGGGAATATCTGTGGCGAACCCGGCTTTTGAGGAACTGGAGATCAATTCAGTCGACTCAATGCCAGATGCACGGTTCTGCCAAGTTCCGCCATGCTCAAGTTCAGGACGTGTACTTCCGGCGTATTCCCATTCATTTGTTGATTCTGCCCTTGCACATGACCAGCAAAACTGCTCGCGCGCGGAGAGAGTCCTCTACGGCGACAGCGCTTGTTTAAGGCGGAATTTCTATTGAAACCCAAATCATCTCCGAGGAACCGTTATCTTCTGAACGCGTACTGTACCAAGTAGGTACTTGAAAATGTACTGTGCTTCTCTGAGCTCTCCCCAGCAATCAAAGACTCTACCCAGGTACCAGTACCTTCTGACCTACTGTTGTATCCAGTGTTTGTCATCGTGCTATTGTTGCTAGCTTGCCTGCAGGGAAAGGCCGCAGCAGGTTGAGGCATAGTCCTTGGTGTCCTTTTACCATGTTCATCACAAAGATCTCAAATGACGATCTTGCTCTCCTTCCCACTGATGCAGTTTGCACATTGTCGACGTGCGACATTTGAATCGTCAGGAAGACTGTGGAGGGCGCAGCACTAAGTGGGCAGCTTTCCCTTCGCTCGTGCTCTCTTTAGCTCGTAAAGTGACTGCTTCCGTTGACAGGGGCCACAGCTGCCCTGGTCGCCCCAAGCATGGCTCCCGCTGCAGGCAGCGTGGACGAGGCAGTGGCGTTCCTGCAGAAAAGCAGCAGCACAGCGGGCTCCAGCGTGTTCGACCACCTCACCTCCGTGGTGCACAGGGTGAGTCAAACATTGCAGAGCGCAAGTGGCAGAAGCCTGCACGTTCTCGGATCATGGGCAATCAGAGTCTGACTATCTAACTGAGCTCCAAACGTCAAATCATTTGATGTCCATGAGGGTGTGACAAGTTACCGAACCACAGTACATCATAGCTTAGGCTTCCTGTGACTCCTGTGAGCTGAGTGCTCAAGGCTGGAGCTTGCTTTGGAGGGGCTCTGCAAGGCCACAAGTTATCCAGCCATGGTTTAGCTGCAGAGAACGTTGTCACCAGTCGCACAATAGGTTTAAGTCCTATAAAATGCACGTTGCTGAGCAAGAGTCGCAAAGGGTCATTTAGCTAGAGCACCTGATTGGCTAGGATTAGGAATGCATGTCTGGCTTTCTGGAAAGCAGGTGAAACTAACATTAGGCGCTGGCTCACTGGCCTTTGACAATGTGAGTAGGTCGAACATGGTTCCTCAAGCCCTGCACTAGATATGGTTTACCTTCACCAATTCAGCATTACAAGCGGGGCCCTACAATTGTGGGTCAGGTCTAAGCCCCACCCGAGTGGTCCTCATGCTTCATCCTGGTGTGCAGCTACGCATGTTCCTAAGCTATATGGATTCTTGCAGATCCTGGAGGAGCGGCCCGCCAACGCGGTAGACATTCTGGAGACCAGCCTGCTGGTTAAGAAGACGGCACCGCCTTCAATCAAGGAGACTGCACCCAAGAAAAGCAGCCCCGATGCGACCTCAATCGCAGCGGCCACGGCTACCCTGCAGCTCTACAGGTAGGCTGCTCCCTGCTGGCCCCTCGCACTGCCCGCAAATGTGCCTGGGAGCAGCGCGTCCATCCTCAAGGATCTCAATCAAGTGGGCTAAGCTCGTATACAAACGAGCGCAAGCCACTGGGGCCGCCAAATTGACCAGCTTGGCTCTCCAGCCCACGGATTTAGAACTCGAACTGTCATGTCAAGTTTTCGCCAGCTCTGCAAGTCCCATCTCCTCTCCTCTGAGTCATGTCTTGCCAGACTGCAGTATACCACCTACGACTGGGGCACACGATCTCTGAGCTAGGGACTGGACCCTTGTGGTGCGGCAAGTTGGGTATGAGACCGGCACTGAGCAGCTACAAATCTGTCCTGGTTGCAGCACTCCCGAGCCGGCCATTAACGCTGAGACGGGCGAGGCGGAGGAGGCTGAGCCGCTGAACGAGTATGACGCGGAGGACGTGCTGCTGGACGCCAGCCTGTACGCAGCATGCGGGGTGGGGCTGGGCGCAGGCGAGATGCACCGCGTGGCGCTGGCACTGCACAAGCTGGGGCAGGACCCGGCCAAGAACTGCGCCAGCGTGCGCTTCTTTGGCAAGCTTTTCGGGACCACCGCCAACTACTACGTCTTTGAGAGCACGCCCAAGGGCGAGGAGGAAGAGGTGCGCACACGGCCGGGGACTCCTTCCTTCTCAGAAGGCACTGCTTGATGGAGAGTAGCAGCAGAACTACTCTGTGTTTCAATGGCGAGCTTGTTGAGGCACGAGTCTGCAAAACTGCATTGGTACACTAGCACAACAGTACCAGAAATATAACCCCATTTCCCGAAATAGATTGTTCGGGGTCTCGTAGTGCTGCTTCGAAGTACAGTGAGGATGAGCACGAGACTTCGAAGTCTCCTCACTAGGCCGATCTTATGTTTTGATTGGAAGAAGTGCTGATGAAGAAAAGGTCCGGCCAGTATGCTGAGATGAGCCTGTTGTAACAGTGAGAACAGCACAGGACAGCGCAGTCAGAGTGTGGAGGCCTCGGATGTACCAACGTCAATTCCAACAGCATTTTGAATCGACTTACGAACGATTTTAGGCACTTTGGCATCCTGCGCAACCCCTGACGGCTGCCCTCTCACCTCTCTCACCCCCCGGTCTCTGCCCGTGCAGAAATCGGAGGAGGCTGTGGCCGCGGAGGCTGCTGTAATGTGGGGCCGCCCCCAGGACGGCGTGCCGCCGGAGGAGCGCAGCGGGGCCAACGCGTGCGTCTACTGGGTCACCACGCGGCTGGGGGGCCCGCTGACGCGGTTGCCGGACGTGACGCCGCTGCAGGTCAAGACGGCCCGCAGCATTAAAAAGTTCCTCACGGGCAACCTTCAGGTCAGGGCCGCTCTACGCTGTCTACGCTGGAGCGGCGCTTGAGTGCATGCTTGGAGTGTCACTTCGATAGTACGACGCACGGTTCTTTCGTACCGTGCCAGAAGCACTGGCTGCACTGGCAGTGAAGTGAAGCGAAGTGGCTAAGCGGCTGTCGTTTGTAGTGGTATCAATTGCCGATATCCTGCGGAAGGCTTTCCTCTACCAGAAGACCGTTTGAAAGCTGCCATAGGAAGGAATCCTTCGCTGACCATCAGCTCTGCCTACTAGAGTCCGTCCTCCATTCTCTATCTCACCCGTTCCTCCTGCTCGTGTCTCCCTAGGCGGAGGTGTCCGCGTACCCGCCTTTCCCCGGCGTGGAGGCCCACTTTTTGCGCGCGCAGCTGGCGCGCATTGCGGGCAGCACGGTGGTGTGCCCCGCGGGCTACTTCACGGTCGGCGAGGAGGACGCCGGCCTCGAGAAGAACGACGAGTTCGTGGCGCCCGCCGCGGCCGACGCGGCAGCGCTCGAGGCCTGGGCGCACAGGACGCCACACATCAAGAAACAGGTGCGCACCCGCAACACCGCTGGCCGGCAGGGCAGCCGCCTGGCAGCGGGCTCAAAACAACCCGTGCAGACGTGACGGCCATGCAGCAGAAAACGTCGCCAAGACATGGGAAACCCGAACGCAAAAACTCAAGGCAGGTATAACGCCTTAAGACCGTTTCATTGGACTGCCGTCTCCAGCCTCACACCGTCTCCAGCCTCACAATACATGCAGCAAAACGGCATTACAAGCGAATCTAATGCAACGGTTTCCACGATTAAGAGAGGCCGCCTTGTCAGGTTACTCTGCAGCAACGGAAGCGCTTGCGCTTTCAGAATGGCAAGTATGAAACAAAGGCGTCCAAGACGAGAGAGAACCACCAAAATGTGGTGCCACTTGTTCACACCGGCCATTGGCGATCAGTTCAGAATGCCTCAATCGGACATTTACAGGCCGACCATCACGGCTGAACTCTGACGAGTCTGACGGTGCTGTGTGTGTTGGCAGGGGCGGTGCGCGGTGTGGGTGGCCCCGCCGGCGGAGGACGCGGAGGAGGGCGAGGAGGAGGAGCGGCAGCCGAGCGAGGAGGAGGCGGAGGAGGGGCCCGCGCCGCTCACCACGCTGGACAACGACGCGGAGCTGCCGGCCGGGGGGAAGCCCTGGGCGGCCGCGCTCAGCTCGGACATACCCGGGCTCAAGCACAAGGTCAGCCGCAGCGTCTCGACTAGGGACGTGATGCGTGGGAACCGTGAAGATCGACGATGCTTCTCAAGGAAACTGTCGAGAGCGATTTCGAAGGACTAATGGAATTCCCTTTGCAGGGCTGCTCACTCGAAGCTTGATGCGAAGTCGATGGCATTCATTTGTTGATTTTCCTTACGTCCTTCAGGTGGCGTGTATCCGGTCCCTCCTGTGGCCCGGCGCTTATGCCATCGCCACCCCTTCCGGCTTCTCCAACATCTACATCGGCTGGGGCGTGAAGAACGCACCCTACAGCCCGGCCTCGCCCCCCGTCGTGCAAACAGAATACGAGCCCGCCGAGGGTGAGCCCGCCCTGGCTGAGTCCAACGAGCTGCCGCCCAAGCCGGAGCCCGAGGTGCCCGAGAGCCCGACCGGGGAGGAGGGCGAGGAAGGCGAGGACGACGGCGAGGAAGGGGACGAGGACGACGAGGGAGAGGAAGAGGAAGAGGAGGAAGACGAGTAGGAACGGCCACCGTCAAAGTCTCAAAGTGATATCTGCTAGCTTATAAGAGCACACGCAGCGGCTGCGAACTTTAGTATATGTTCTCAAGCGATGGAAAGCAAGTCGCTGGGGCCTAAACAACGAATCTACACGAACGCCGGATCTCTTTATCATGATGCAAATTGACGTGAAGAAGAGGTTGAAGTTTAGAGTGGGGTCGATTTGAGTTTGTTATGCACGGATTCCATGTTCAGACCGGCTAGCTGCGGCCGCGCCAATCATGAGGCGTCGCCGTCTAATCTGATTTCATGCAACTTCCAAAGTACTGAACGCACTTTTACTAAATTGCGGGGTAAGTATCACGGGGCCGGGCTTAATTGCATAGTTTTTGAAGGGACTCTTGCCATATACGTTCGGTCCGTCAACGTCACCAATGGAGTGTGCAGCGCAACAGCTTACATATCGATGTAATTCTTTGGCAAACCATATTGAATGCCACTGCCATAGCGTGTGCGCACGCATGCACCGGCCTCAACAATTTAAGACTACGCCCGGGCGGCCACAATCCGGCCCCGTTATCATTACGTCCTGAGCTTTGCACATGCATCGATATCATGATCATGATCGAATGATTAATGTCAGATCGGACGTTGTTTATATCTGACCATGCGAACTTGGCCGACAATATATTTGTTACTACACGGCGACCGGACCGGGTACATATATTTGTATAAATATAACTATAAACTATACTGTATAGCAGATTCGAGTCACTAGCTGGGCTGCGCGTGCATGCCATGGTCATGACGGTCAGTGCATATATGTGCACACATGTGAGTCCGACGTCGAGCGCCTGGCCCTTATTAGTTCCGGCACACTAACTTAATGCACGGGCTGGTCACTCACTAAGTCAAGCTAGTGCCTGGGATTGAAGGGTCGGGCCCGGCCGGCTGAGATTGATTCAGGCACAACGAACTTGGGAAAGATTCGGTCGGAGCCTACTTAGTTTGTGCATGGCCTTGTATAAACACGGTGATGCTTAGTAATTAGAGTACGTTCTTAGCAATGTATAGCTAGATCGATACCAAGCTGGCCACTCTCATATTAGATCGACGCGGTAAGGATATGAACATCATTTAGCGCTTTGGAAGTCGCCACAGAGAGGGAAAAAAGTGACAGTACACTTTGATCAGGGAAGTAGCCGATCAGTTGCCACCTTGTTTGTCCAGAATCAAGTGGCCACCTTCGCGCATACATATCTAATGCTTTAGATGAATACGCCTCTGAAACTTTTTATAAGAGTACATGCTGTCAGTTAGCCTGGATTGGAGAAAAAAGGGGCATGCGAGAATCAGGTTCTTTCTAAACAAACGCCGAAACCCGCTCGAAACCAGACAATTTCGACTAATAATCATCTCCTCGCGACAGAACTTCTTTGCAAGTTGGCCCCAAGTATAACGTGTGCTCAAATTGGGCGGTGAAGCTTCCCTTGATATCACATAGTGGCGGGCACTCCTGCAGATGGCCGCACATTGTGTTAGTAGTCAATTTCATCAGAGCTGGCAATTGCCATGGCCCCCGGAACTTGTACGGCTTGCTTCCGACCATTGTAACCAGCAAGCAACCTACTACTGGGCAACCGTCGAGAGTAGGCAGTCAACAACAGCGAACAGGTGAGGGAACACCTGTGCTCACCATGAGGACGCCATTGTCCACCAGGTTCTTGAGCGCCATCAGGTACTTGGTCTCCCCAAGGCGGTCCAGGTACCGCCGGCAGAACGCCAACGTCCCAAAGTTGCGGTCAATGGTCGCCAGCAGCTGCTTCGCGCGAGGTAACCTGCAGGGAAGACAGGGCACGCAGTGGGATGCGGCCTGCGCTAGATGTATATTGTCAGGTAGGCCGCTTTCTCACGGGCTACGTTTTTGAAATCTACCTCATCTTTTAACGCATTCTTATAGTGCACAGCAAATTTTCGCCTCCACTACTGCAAGCGATGCAGCCGAGCGATCGGAGTAAGAAGCGGGACACAACGGAGGCCCCCAACCACTGCCTCGCAAAGAATCAGAAGCACAGAGCGGAGGCGCACCGAAGGGGCACGAAGGTGACGTCGAAGTTCTTCATGTAGTGGCTGCACTCCAGGTCTTCGTGCACGTAGCCCTTGCCCGTGGAACCAAACGTCTCAATCGCGAAGAACTCGCCCTCCTCCATCTTGGTCTGCTCGCCCCCCTTAACGATAGGCACACTCTTGTCCCCATGGATTTGGTATGGCGCGATGTTGTGCCCGTTCAGATTGCGAATGCTCTTCACTGCAACGAGCATAGCAAGTGAGACCTTTAGTTCCTACACGTACATGCTGAGCCTCGAGAGCATCAGATGTACGCCAACCCGCCCAGGCGCTTGATCCAGAACATCGTGCAGCATGAGCGACTCTATGATGTTGCCTGGGGACACGGGTCAATGTCCTGGATGCCAAGGAGCGTAGCTGCTTGGGAGCACATGCGCCGCATTTATCGACTAGCAATCGCTGCAAGGCGGCCCGAGCAGCGCCGTCTATCCTCGCGATGGGGGCGAGGCCTCACCTTGGAAGGTCTTGCCGCCAATCTCCACCTCGTACGATTCCATCACCTCCTGGATGGCCGCGCCAACATCACACAGCCGCACGTCGATGCCGCTCTCCTGCACACGCAGCAACCGCGAGCTCACGTCAGCAGGCACCCAACCAAGGGTCCCACGGCCAGAAAGGGGCTCAGGGGAAGGGCCAATGCCTGAAGATCAATACCGCCTGGCCCTTGATCCACGATGTCCGTCACCTCCGTTCTGCCTGCCGAGAGCCAGAGCTTGTCCAGCCCCAAGCTTTCTCATAGAAGGACGCGCATCTCTACACCGAAGTTGAACTGAGCGCACCTAATTGATGGTAGCAGCATACCGTGAACAGTCGCGTTCATACTCCAGCATGCAGATCTTGGAACAGCCGCTGTTCCTAGAAACCAAAGTCCTGCTTGAGAGCAATCGATCCGCACACCCCTAGCCAGCCCCGGAGCTCGAAGCACAACGCCCCACGGCGTACTGACCTTGACCCCGGCGTCAGTGGCCTCCCTGACGGCGCGCAGCAGCGGGTCGTACACCGGGTTGAACGCCACTGTGAACGCGCTGTCGATGATACGCCCCTCGATGTGCGTGCCAAAGTCGATCTTCATCACGTCGTCGTACTGCAGCACCGTCTTGTCCCCTGCGTTGGGCGTCCAGTGCGCGGCCACGTGGTTGAGGCTGCACCCGGTGGGGAACGCAATCCCAGCCTGCAGCCCGTTGGCCTGGATCAGCTTGCGCACGCAGTCCTCCAGCGACTCGGCCATGGTCGCTATATGTACCCCCGGCTTAGCGATGGTCCGCACGTACTTACGCACCTGCATACCACGCGCACGACCTGAATCAGCCAAGGTGTCACATGCAGCCTGGGGCCAACCGAAATCGAGAACCGGGGGGGTCCAGCTAACGTAGAACAACTCAGCACATTCTGATGCTCTCGTAGTCGCCTCTGGTTTATATGCAATCCCTCGCACCAGAGCACAACAAGCCAGGTGGCCAGTCAGCCTCATTTTGATGCAAGAGCACAAAAGCCACACCCATTCCCTCTTCCGCGCACTTTCGGCCTAACTGTGAGTGAGGTTGCTATCAGGGCTGGTGCCTTGCTATGTGCGCCGCTCTGCGCGTGGCCTCACCTGGCGGTGCACTTCCGCAGCTTGGCGTACATTCTCATACATCGGCTTCTCCAGGCGCTCCTGCTCGCGTTTCTCTGCGCTGGTTTTGCGCCACAGGTTGTCGTCCTTGTAATCCTGGAACTCCCCCATCGGGAACTCCCCCTCCGGAAACAAGTGCGCCACTGGGATGCTGGGGGGGTCCGTCTGCTCCAGACTGCCGCCTCTCTTCTTACTGCACGTGCAAACCCGCTCTGATGTCTGTACTTAATAGTATTCACTTTCAAGCTCAATTGCAAAACCACAGAACGATTCCAAAAAGCGCCCATGCGGTCCAGCCCCATGCTGGAACCTGCCGGCCCAATCCTACAAGGAAGTTACGGCCAAGTCTGGCGTGCACCTATTGCAAGGAGCAGAGGCACTGCTCAACTTACCCGCTCTTTTTCTTCTTTTTCTTCTTCTTGGCACCGTCTGCAGCCAGGACAATGTCGTCAGGATCATACGACAGCAACCTCCTCTCTTTGAACATCCAGCTTTCAGCCCATTCGCACCCTCGCAGCAAACCCACTTCATCCAGGAGCGCAGGAACTCTGTGATACACACTCCGCTTTATGTAGGACACAGGCCTGCCCACCTGCTGCTTCACCGCCAGCCTCCTCTCCCTGGTCTGCATTGTCTCCATCCTCCTGCCCCTCCTCTGCGCTCGGGCTCATTTCTGCAGAGGCTTCGTCTATCCCCGGCAGCTGCCTTGAGTCGGCCCCCTCTTGATGGCCATTGGCCTCAGCCGGGCCTGCCTCTTCAGGCCCTCCTTCTGCCGCAGCCTTCTTCTTCTTCTTCTTGCGCTTCTTCTTAGCTGCAGCGGACTCCTGCAGCAGACAATAAAGAGCAAAACATATTTGAAAAGTTGACCAGAGCCTCCTTTGGTGTCGACCCGGCTTGCTCAAGAGGAGCGCAGCAGCAAGCTTAGCATGCATTGCAATCAGGCCAAGATGCTCCTTGAAAAGACACCACGTATGAAGAGTTTCTTTTATGGGTGTTGCAATTCATCAATCATTCCAACTTCAACAACGATACCAGCATTTAGAGAGCGAGATAGAAGAGTGGGAAAAGAAGATTTTTTCTCCAAGAATCACTAAAGCACAATCTCAAGTGAAGCCCACAGAGTCCTCAACATTTTCTTCCTAAAACAGCATTGGATCCTCTTGATGAAGGCACCCGCCATAAACAATCAATGATTCCTCTGAAAATTGACAGCATTGCAATACAATGTGAAACCCTTGTGAAAGTCTGTGGACCGAAACTTCACTAGCCAGCTTGTTGATAGAACGAGGCAGCTTGATCGCCGCAAACTATGGTAGCAGTGCATTGCTCAGATGTTGGATGTAAAATCCTCACATTTCCATTTTGTAAACTTTCTTCTTCTTGAATGGTCAATTCTTCCACTCCTTCCTCCAGCTCGTTCCGTTTGGTAGCCATGGTAGAGTTTGCAGCTATCATGGTGGCACGCCAGACGAACAACTTGCCGCCTGACTCAACTTGACTGCCAATTTGGATGCACTGGCAATGCTTCTTCAGACGCCTCTACCTTTCAGTTCTTGTTGCTCTTTCAGTGACTCAGTAACTGACTCCAGTTCTGGCGAGCTTCCTCTTGAGCTTAGACTTCTAGCTTGCAAGTATATATACTAGCAAACGGGCAGTACAACAGGCGGACAAATCACCAAAGTTTGTGTTTTAAGAGGTTTTAGGGTTTTTAGGTTTTTAGGGTTTTAGGGTTTTAGGGTCCAACGAGCCGCGGTATGTCGATTGAGAAGAAAGCTCAAGTGGGGAAAGCGGGTGAATGTT